TTGATCCATTTAGATTTTAATTTAGTATATGGTGATAGGCATGGATTCAGTCTTAGTTTTTGGCATATGGAGAGGCAGTTCTTCCAACACCATTTATTAAAGAGACTGTCGTTCTTCCAGTGAACATGTTTGGCCCCTTTATTAAAGATAAGGTGGTTGAGTGTGTTTGTAGTCGTGGTTGTATCTTCTAATCTATTCCATTGATCTTTGGCTCTGTTTTTATTCCAGTACCATGTTGATTTTACTACAGTTGCTTTGTAGTATAACTTCAAGTTAGGGATTATGACGCTTACTGCCTTGCCTTTGCTGCTTAGAACTGTCTTTGCTATTCTAGGTTTCTTCTTACTGCAGATGAATTTTAGGAGTGATTTGTCTAGATCTATGAGGTATGTTGATGGTATTTTTATTGGGATTGCATTGAATGTGTATAAGAGTTTTGGGAGAATGGCCATTTTCACAATATTTATTCTTCCTATCCATGAGCAAGAGATGTCTCTCCATTTTCTGAGATCATCTTCAATTTCATTTTTCAGTGTATTATAATTTTCCCTATATAGATCTTTCACTTCTTTTGTGAGAATAATTTCTAAATATTTCATTTTTTTGGTTGCTAGTATGAAGGCTATGGTTTCTTTTATTTCTTTCTCTGTGATCTTTCTGTTAGTGTATATAAATGCTATTGATTTCTGAGTACTGATTTTGTATGGAGCTACATACAAGCAGCTACATTTTGTATGGAGCTACATACAAGGACCTACATTGCTGAATTTATTATATCTAGGAGTCTTTCAATGGAGTTTTGGGGTCTTCTATGTATAGTATCATGTCATCCTCAAATAATGATAGTTTAACTTCTTCTTTTCCTATCTTTACCCCCTTTATTTCTCTCTCTTGTCTAATTGCTCTGGCTAGTATTTCCAGTATTATATATTAAATAGGAGCAGTGATAAGGGACATCCCTGTCTTGTGCATGATTTCAAGGTAAAGGCCTTCAGTTTTTGGCCATTTAGCATGATACTGGCTGTTGGTTTATCATAGACGGCCTTTATCATATTGAGGTAAAGACCATTTATTCCAATTTTCTGTAAGGTTCTTATCATGAATGAATGTTGGACCTTATCAAAGGCTTTTTATGCATCTATAGAAATGATCATGTGATTCTTACTTTTGGCTTTATTGATCTGGTGGATTACATTTATTGATTTACTTATGTTGAATCATCCCTGCATGCCTGGAATGAATCCCACTTGGTCATGGTGTATAATCTTCTTGATGATTTGCTGCATCCTATTTGCCAATATTTTATTGAGGGTTTTTGCACCCATTTCCCAAAATTTGCATGATCCTCTTTTGTCTTCCAGCCAGGTTTCTAATCTCCTTCTCTCCTGTTTCTCCCCTAATACATTTTAAATTTTCTCCCCAGAGGATAAAATTTTCTTATTGAGGGCATATTTACCATTTTCTGGTTTGTTTTAGATTTTGTTACATAACTACAAACATAGATGTACAGTTAAAGACAGAAAATTAGTAGTTGCCACAGTTTGTCACTTTAGAGAGTGTGTTTGATGCTACTGTTATGGCTGATCATATTCCTTTAGTCAAGGTGACATAATTATTTTAATCTCTTTTGCTTCCTGGTATGTCAAGACAGATTCTCTGAAGGTCATAAACAATAGGAGAGGCCAGTGCCAAAGAACCAAGGGCTAGGCCAAATAGGCAGCAATTTGTCATTGCTAATAAATTAAAAGTCTAGGATCTTGCAACAGACTGCAAACCAAAAGCCAGCTACATCTGGAAGAAATGTTTGAGAAGTAGTCATTTCCAAGGGCTCCAAACACCACTGATGAAGCTACATGCCATAAGCAATTTATCCAGCTAGGAATTAACCTCCCTCCCATGAGAAGACATTTAAGGAGACACAATATCAGATTTCCAACGAGACAGAACAATTTGAAAGCCATGCACCTGGACTTTCTGAAGTGGAAATAGCAGAAGTAACAAAGCAGGTAAACGTAACGGTAGAAAAAAACAAAGCAAAAATAATTTTTCAGATAACTACAGAGATGGTGCCTATAATGAAAGATTTCATTAGTGACTTTAGAGCAGACACAGATAAAAAAGAAGAATTTAATAAAATGATGGAAGCCATGAATGTATGATATAAGAAATAAAATCCATCAAACAGATATCCAATGGAAAGAAATAGACTGGTAGAATGGATCAAGAAGCAAGATCCAACAATATGATGTATAAAAGAAACACATTTAATTAAAAAATTCATAAACTGAGATCCAAAAGATGGAAAACAACATTCCATGTGACAGGAACTCAGTAAAAAGTAAGAGTAGCTATTCTATTTGCAGATAAATTGGATTTAAAGCCAACATTGATGAAGAGAGAAAAACAGGGCACTACATTCTTGTAATGGGAATGATTCAAGAGGAAGAAATAACCACCATCAATATATATGTACCAAATCCTGGAATCCCCGACAATAAGAAACAAATATTAATGGACACAAAGAATCAAAGAAGCACTGATACAATTGTAATAGAGGAATGGAGGACCTCAATATCTCACTGTCACAAATAGATTAATGACAAAAAAAAATCAGTGAAGAAATATCAGAACTGAACCAAAATTTTGAGCAAGAGGGTTTTGTAGATGTCTACTAAGTAATCCACCCAAAAACATGAGAATAAAATTCTTCTCAGCTGCACATGGGACGTTCTTCAAAACAAATAGTGAAAATGGCCGTAAGTAATGGTTGTCCAGTGTGTCAACTTGAGAAGTTTAGAAATTTTACTGAGTGACACAGCAGGAGTCTAGGGTCTTCACTCTGTAAACATCCTGAGCCTGTGTAAGAGGAGGGCACGGAGATGGTGAGAGTGCTTTCACACATCCTTTCAGGATGGGTAGCCACTATACAATATAAGAGAGGAAAAGAGTCCCCCCCCCCATTGCTTTTGCTGTCTTCTGCCACCTTGAACTGCTGCCTCTCTGCCATGTGACACCCTGCATTGGAGCCAGCTGATTACGGATTGCAACCTCTGCAAACTGTGAGCTAAATACACCTTTACCTCTTTCACTCTGAGTGTCACGTAGTTTGTTCCAGCAATGAGAGAAAAGTAACAAAAATTTCAAAAATTGTTATGCAGATTTAATGCAACCCCAATCAAAATACCAATGGTGTATCTCACAGAATTAGACACAACAATCCTATAAAGCAATTCTGGCCAATAAAGGCAAGGCAAAGGCCATCACAATCCCTGAGTTGAAGTTGTACTACAAAGCTACTATGGTAAAAAAAAAAAAAAAAAAAAAAAAAAAAGCATAGTATTGGCAGCAAAACAAAACAAAACAAAAACAAAGACCTGAGGACCACTAGAATAGATTAGAAGATGCAGAAACAGCTCCAAACACATTAAGCCACCTTATCTTTGACAAAGGAGCCAAATACCTTTGTTGAAAGAAAGATAGCTTCTTTAATAAATAGTACTGGACAAATTGACTTTACAGGTGCTGAAGAAAAATGAGACCTATGTCTTTTACCATTTACTAAACTAAAATAAAAATTGATCAAATATCTAAATATTAAAACAGAAACAGTAAATCTGTTGGAAAACAGAATAGATAGAATACTTGAAGACATTGGTGTAGGCATAGCAAAAAATGTCCCCCTCCCCTGAGCCTTCAGTTTGTTAATTGCTCAGTTAATAAATAATTCCTGTTTCAGTTAACAGTTGCTCCTGTCTCTTAGAAACAGCTGATCACCTTGAAGTATAGCAGTGACTATGATGCACGCTGTATAGACCAATCCTCAGTGGACAAGCAATTCTGCCTCTGTACTTCCTGCTTGCTTATCCCATATAAGCCCTAGACTATCAGAGACGAAAGCCTGATAATCAGCAATGAATGATACTGATGGGTGCCCATCAGTGTAAATAAATCTTCTTCCAAATTCTGATGTTTCTTCTTGCCATTGCATCAGTAGACTTTATGAACAAAACCCTGATCACACAGGAAATATCACCAAGAATCAATACCCTGGATCTCATCCTATTAGAAAGCTTTTGGATAGCAACTGAAGTCATCAACAGAGTGAAGAGACAATCCACTGAGTGGGAAAAAAAATCTTGTCAGTTCTTCCTCAGAGAGGATTAATATCTAGAATATAGAAAGAATTAAAAGAAATCAGACCCCTAAATTTAAGCAGTCATTTCAAAAGTGGGCATCTGAAATGAATAGAAAACTCATAGATGAAGTAGAAATGGAAATGAATGTTAGAAAAAATGTCCAATCTCATTGGTCATTCGAGAGATGCAAATTAAAGCAATACCGAGATTTCATTTCATTCCGGAAGAAATAGTTATGATTAGGAAGTCAACCAATAACAAATGCTGGTACTGTTTCTCTGGTTGAGAAACCAAGTGAGGACCAAATAAGCACCAACATGTGTACTAGATATCAGGCAATGGGAAGAAAATATTCAAATGTGGAGGGAACCAAGGGAGGTCTGGAAAAACAAGAGAATAGAAGGAAATGTAGAAACAAAGCTTTTGTAAAGAAAGAGGGGAAGAGGGCTTGAAGGGAGGGGAGGGGAATGAGAAAAGAAAAGAAGCAACATATATCATGTACACGTATAAATTCCCTATGACAAATGTCATTATTATTTACATCTAAAATGTACTAACACAATAAGACACATCCACAAACACAAAAGAAAAACAGGGCAGGTTTATTTCAGAATAAACCTAAGAGGGGCCGCTCTGGCATGGGAGACCAGACCAGCAGCTCTCTGTCAGGCTCTGGGGTCCTTTACAGGGTCTTGGGGAGGAGGATTCAGTGAGGGGGACTGCGGCTTCCTGTCCAAGATAAGCCCGGAAAGAGCTCAAGCCTTGATGGTCGCCCGAATTCATCTCTCGCAAGCAAAGAAAGGAAACTGAACCCTGGTACTTTCTATAGGAGAAAGGAAACCGAAACTGGTGTCCAAGGTATAAAAGCCTGGCTGGAGTGGCTGGACTCGCCCAGTGCGTCCTGTCACCGGAGCGCAGGGGACACCGCGCTTCCACGGGAGATCGAGCTGGGTCGAGGCTCCGCCAACCTTTTCTAGGTTGAGCGCGCTCTCAGAGGCTCTTTGGACACTGCAGGTTCGGGGTTGGGGAAAGGGTGGAGTCTCAGGGCCAGCAAGAGGCTTGGGGAGTCCAGGTGAGGGCGGGCGAGAGCCCCGATGTCCGAGGGGGTTCGAGGTTTTCGTGCGCCTCAGAATGGAGAGGACCGGGAGGAGGCTGGGGCGCGTCTGGGCGCGGGGAGCTGGGCCCGGGAGTCCCGGTAGAGGCAGTCCAACTGTCACCGCTGCCCCAGGAGGCTGAGGCCGGTGGGTGCCAGGGAGGAAGGCAGAGACAGAGAAGCGCCCGCCCTGGTGAGCGTGGGAAGCTTAGGAACAGACAGGCTTGGCCAGCCTTGTGGGATCTTCTCCAAAAATTAACCTGGGCTTCTGAGGAATAATTAAGGGACCTCAGATCTGAGCACAGCTAATGAAGGTGGAGGCCAAAAGGGAGTTTGCTGCCTTCACAGAATGAAGCACAGCAGGGTGCATCACACTTGCAGAATCAGAATCTGCATTTTCCTAAGCTCTCCCATGGGATTCCTGAGCACGGTTGTATTTTAGGGGCTTCAGACAATTTATGTCTTAACTCTCCTAAGAGTTGAAAGAATGTATTCACGCATAGGGGCAGGGGTTAATTTTCTATTGTGCCTAACCAATTATCAGAAACCATAGTGACTTACAGCAATACATGTTTATTGTTTTCATATTCTGTAGATGGGAAGACTAAGTCCTTCTGAGAGCATAGCACCTGGCTGAACTCAAGGAGTCTGCGGGGGCTGCCCTCTACCCCAGTAGCCTACCTGGTGCTCACTCAAGTGTTTAGAACTAGTCAAGTTCTCAAAGCTGAGGACGCAGGCTCCCTGGGTCTTTGCTGACTGTTGGCTGAGGGTTACCCTTGGCCCCTAGAGCCCGTTAGCTCCTGCTCTTTGACTGCCTCACAAGATGGCTATGCTTCCCAAGCTCTCTATCTCAACAAGTCTTTCACACTGTAACCTCGTCACAGGAGATGCTGTCCCATTAAATTCACAGTCCACAGCTCTCACCCGGAAGAGATTATTAGGCCTGTGTACCAAGACAGTGGAGTGGTGAGACCATCTCAAAATCCTGCTCACTGCCATGGGCCAGGTCTTCCCCATAGAGGAATGGGCATCTTGGATCACGCTGTGTTCTGTTCTCTTCCATGATTTCTCTTCTTTTCACTTCTTCCTTCCTCTTGCCTTTCCTTCTTCCTCTTTTCTTATGTTTTAAACATTGCTTGAATCAGATTCCAAATCCAAGTCTGACAATACTGTGACAGACTTCCAAGTTTCTTTAATTTCTTTAAATGTGTTTGTATGTCCTATAGAGACTTTCCTGGCTCTTGTGGTGCCATTTACGTTTCTATAATCTCTACAATGTCTCATAAATTAGTCCTAACTGGTAGTTTCGATCAAATTCAGTTTTAATTTCTTTTGATGAATGGTTGCTGTACAACATCATGATACACTTGTCTGTGTTTTTTATTCAGTACTTGCTCTATTTTTTGTTCTGTTCTGTCACCTGCTAATGCATTAGGAGTTATAAACTGGCCAGACCCTTGTTCTGTCTCTGTGTAGTAGTTTTATTACTTCCTGAAAGGAGAGTGTTTTGGTGCTGCAACAAGTACCAGAAAAGCAGGATAAATTCTGATTCTAGATATTATTCTTTGACATTATTTGTAGATGATACTCTGAACTTTTTGCTGGGAAAGATGAAGAACTTACCATAATTCTTATTTCTTCTATAATTCCTTTTCTGAGCCTCTTAGTTTGGTTATTATATTTTTTTATATCATCAAGATTTATCATGTTACCCAGTATTCTGTGACATTAATTTTGTTACTTGCTTCCATTGCACTAAAAGTAGAAAGCCCAGAAAACAACAATTATAAAAATTATGATTATATACGCATTGTTCCTTGTAGACACAATCTCTGTGTTTGACAAGGAAAAGTGGTTCTATATTAATGGCATTATTAATTGCAATAGACTTTCTGGATTCAAAGCATCATGAACTCTGTTATTTTTCCTTATATTTGTCTTTAATTTTCAGAATCAAAAATAATTTCAGTGTTTTTTATTGTCCTTGTCCCCCCTCACAATATGCACTTTATTTAAATAAAATACATTTAAGATATGGCTGATAGTCTTTTGATCTTCATGCCCAATAATACATTTTTGCCTTCTCAAATGGATTACATGATTTATTGGATGCAGAAATCTATTTTTAACATATTTTCCCCTTAGAAAGCTGAAAATGCTATTTTCTTTTATTAAAATATCCAGCATTTGCTTACTTTAATTCTTTGGAGTATATGCCAAACGCTATTTTAAGCATTTTGTAGCATTTGTTCATATGTTTTAAAAACTTGGAAACATAAACACAAGAAATTAACGTTATCATCTCATCTTATAGATGAGTAAATTGAGGCACAGAAAAGGTAAATAATATGACTAAAATAATTGTATATTAAGTCTGAGAGCTAGGTTTAAAACCCACACAATATGTGAGTACTATTCATGCTGTTATCCTCTTCACCTATGTTCTAGAATACAGTACTTCCATTTCTTAGCTGTCTGTTTATGTCTTTATTCTTAGAGCCATGCAACACTTAGGTGTGGTTTCCTTTTATGTCATTTCTACTCAGTGTTTGGAGATATTTTTTAATATAAGGAAGTGGGTTGTGGGTTTTTTTTTTAACTTTTTATCGGTACTGGGGATCACACTCACAACCGCCTGCTTGCAAGGCAGGTGCTTATGCCACTGAGCTAAATCCCCAGCCCCAAGAAAGTGTTTTATAAAATTTCTGATCTGATCTTTATATTACAGAAATGTGAGTTTGACCAAAGTACACAGTGAACAATAAATTTTTAAAGATCACTATAAAATACACATTGCCATGGATACTCCTCAAAATATGCAGTCTGTCACTCCAATACATTTAGCCCATCACTCTTTCCACTTTCTGAAGCAGTTCTAGAAATTCTCTTTCATGAGTGTCTTTATGAGACGTAACAAAAAATACAGTGAATGCTTCTGCCACCCAATGGAAAGATAGGCAGGTAAAACATTGCAGTGTATCTTTTACCTTACTCACGAGTTGTGGCACTGTGTGAGTTTTGGCTCTTCCCCAGAATCAAAATGACCATGAAGGGTAAGCACATTGATTTGACTCAGGTCTTTAAGGCAGCCATGACAGCACAAGTAAAGACATTTAGGAAAAACAACTTCAGAATATGCCATGTACAGAAACCTAATAACTTCAGTGAATATAAACCTATTTCATAAGCATGTGCTAATATAATAATAAGAATGAAAATGGGGAAAGAAGATTTAGAGGTAATGGTGGGGAGGTAGTTGAAAATGAGATTAAAGAAAAAAGGAACAAGCTACATTATGTAAAGGTGCCTAGTGCTTAAGGTGGATATAAGTTTCATGTACTGCATGTTTGCTAAAAACATACAATAAAATAAAGTGGCAAGAATGACAGAATGCATTTGAAGCCAGAGAGATCATTCGGAGGGGGCTTTTTGATAATGTGACTTTTATTGTGATAAATTGAAGAATAGTTAAACATTCATTATATTTTTATCACACCTTATATTGATTAATTTTATGGCTACCTATTTTGGAATCCTGATTCTTTTAACACTGCCACTGCTAGTAGGTAGACTTAGAACTTTTGTGTTACTTTGTGTTAGTTGCTAAGATAAAATAATTGACATCTACCATTAAAGGAAGAAAATGTTATTTAGCCTACAGGTTGTAGACGTTTCAGTTCATAATTATCTGGGTTCCAACTCAGCTTGGCTTGGCAGAATGGCATCTTAACAGCATTTTTTCCCTTTTTATCTTATTCAGGCTAATCAGCAAGTAGCACACCCTTACTCCACCCAGTTCCTGGAGCCTAGCACTGTACCATGGGTCAGTTCCAACACTGCATACCCTAGATCCAGCCACCTTTGAAAAAGTACCACCCATGATTACATGAGGTTTTGGGGGGACATCTAACACAAGCCATAACAAACTTTTTCACCTGCCATCAGCATTTCATAGTATGTTTTCCTATTTTTTTATCTGGTTATCATATTTTACTTCTTCCCCATAAAAAATCTTTTGAACTCTCTCACGCCAAGATTGATTGCAAAATTGATATTACCACAGGCTATATTTATTCTTGTGCTTATTATTTTTTCTGAAATTGTGTGTTTGTAATTTTGACAGCATTAGCTCTCACTCTGTCTCTTTGCTGAGGATGACTAGTATTTTATTTGTAATAATTTTTGACAACACTAATTAAAATTCTTTGAAGATCTGCTCTGTTCCTGAATTATGGTTATTCACATGGTTTATGGTGATTTTTGCTTCTGTTTTTTTCATCTCAGGTGACTGGAGATTCTAATGTGTGTGTGTGTGTGTGTGTGTGTGTGTGTATGTGTTTTCAGCAATTATGGCAGGTATACAGGTGGTTGATAATATTTTCTGCTTGCCTTTCCTTAAATGAGCCAGGATGAGAAGTGGGCCTAATAACTGAATTTACCTAAGTGTTAAAGCTTGTATGTGTTTAGGGTGAAGTTTAACAGGAAAGCTTTCTATAGGAGACGTGAGAGGAGAGTAGATAGACAGGCTATGGAATCTCTTGGTTGTCCAGGAAAGGAAAGTTTTATTCCTCCACCATGGCTATTATTGAAAAGAGGCATCTTGTCCCACTGGCACCCAAGTCTCATGGGGAGTTAAGGATATTTAATTTAACAACTTTAATTAAATTTATTCATATTATTTCTTCAATTCCTGAGTTGTTAGGACATTAATACTAAGGAATTTGTTTGGTGTGAGCTACTTAATAAATGGAGTGATTTGATATTTGGTTCATCCAAGTAGTTTCATGGTAATATTAAGGGTGCTGTGAATGTGGCAACCTATGAATGAACTTATTTCCCCATGTAGACACTATCCTTTCTGAGGCTCTCTTTTTCTGTGTAACACTGAGGTTAATTTTGTCTTGCTTACTCAGTTCTATTTCTCCTTACCTGCTCAATCTGTCGGTTTGGAAAACTGGAAGAAGATAGTACAGCTACTGTGTAATTAATGAAGTTGGGAGTTGCTTGAGAAGTGTGAGTTTTCAGGAAAATGTTTCAACTCATTACCTGGGCACAGGACCCTTCAAAATCTGATCCATACTTATCTTACCAACGTCATCTCCTGTCAGTCACTGTGTGCTTTGACATGCGGAATGACCTGCAGAATGTCAAATTGCTTATGTGGCTCCACATCTCTGCACAGTAAACAGGTGCTGTTTTTGCTACCTTGAATACCGTCCTTGATATCTCTTGTATTCTCCAACATGCTTCCATAATTAACCATCTTTTCACTTGTGCTCAAAACCTTCAGAACACAGGACTCTGATCCCTGCAGCTCAACTGAAGAATTCATTCCTTGCTGGTTTCCTATGCCATTGCTATTGGGACAATCAGCATGTTACACTATAGTGTTTGATTTTATGCACTTTAAGTCCCCACTGGGTTGTGAGGATCATGCTCCACATATCCGTGCCCATGTTGCAGCAAACACAATACTGGATGAAGAGCAGATTCTCGATAAATCTTTGGAAAAGACAATGAATGGGTCATTGGGAAATCCTTCTTAGACTCCTAGCTCCATTGTTTCCTAAATGTTCCAGTGCACAATAATTTCTTCTTTCCTCAAATGTACTCGTTTTTAAAGTCACATATTTTCTTTATCATTTGAATATTGAAGCATGCATTACCACTATATGTTTCTGTTCTTTAATGTCATGGAATAAGAGTGTCTATTTATCTGACTACCTATCTTCCATTCTATTTAATGTTTAACACCACTAACAGATTGTATGGCAAATATCTCAGTATTTGTTTTCATGACAAAATGCTCAAGGGTTCTTCCTTCTACCTCATTAATTCTTTCTCAGTTTTATTTGCAGACTCTTTGTTCTCTCTGATGCCATTTATTAAATATTACTAATCCTAAAAATTGACTTTTGTCCTTTTATCTTCTTCCATGATGCTGTCTCTTTCTGTCCAAAGAAGCTCATCTGTACCAAGTGTCCATCTTTACACTAACACTCAGATGACTCCTATGTTCAAATCTAACTCATACTTGTATTTGACCTGTAGGCCTGTATATTTACTGCTTCTACAACATGGTTAATGGTAAGTCTCGAAGAACCAGCCAAGTTCAGGTTGTTCACGAGTGAACTCATTATTTTTGTCTCACTTGAATCCCATCTTGTGGTTCTCAGTCTTGGAATGGGTCAGTCATCCATTTCTTTGTAGGAGTAAGAACCTTATGAGTCATTTTGATAACCCCTTTTTAAAAGCTTTCTTCTTTATCCATATCTGATACTTTATTAAAATATCTCAAATTCTCCTTCTAAATATACTTCAAAAGAATCTGTATTTTTCTAGTATTTTTAAAAACTAAAGCCCCCATCACATTACAGTTGTGCCAAACTACTGTACCATCATCACCCATCTGAATAATAGCTTATGTTTTGCTCTATTGACCAAAATTTTACTCCCATTCTATTTGATGTACTCTAGTTGGAGTAATATTTTCTGAATTCAAAGTCATTAGAACATCACCAGCTACTTTTTAATGGCTACTTTTACATTCCAGGATGGAGAGAAAATTCTGCAACATGGCCACAAAGGCTCCCATGCCTTAATATTTCTTTCTGGCTCACCTGTCCTTTTTGCTCACTTTCTCTATCCCTGCTCTGTTGTTTTAAGAACCTGGGGCTATCCATATTCCTCATGCCACAGGCCTGGTACATGTGGTGTTGATGTTCCCTTTGCTGTGAATACTACTTTCCTCATTTTTTTACCTAATTCCTGTTTAATCCCTTTGAACTCATCTGTAGTGTGTTTATTTAGGAAAGCTTCCTCTGAACTTGAAATTTTTATATTTGTGATTTCCCATTGTTTAAATGACTATATCATTAATGATTTTTTTGTGTGTAATAGCTTTGCAGTTCCTTGAGAGTTCAGTGCATGTTGACTGTGATGACTATGATCATTCTTATATTTCCAGCACCTAAAGTTTTGCTTGACACATGCAGTCAGTCAGTGCATAATTTCTAATTTTTCCCTTTTTTTGCAGGTCTGCCATTTTCATGACTAATTGCCATTTAGAGCAAGCAGAGTACTGGATGCTGTGTTGAATAACTGCCAGTTCCAATTGAAGGCAGAGATGGCAGCAAGAAGCGGTAATTTTCAATTTTAAGTACTTAAAGAATTATAAAATATAATCTATGTAGAGTTAAAGCAATAAAATAATTATATTACTGTTTTTTATTTTTCAAATAATAATTAAACCTGAATGCATTTAAAAACAATTGACAAAAAAAGTCTTTTTTTTTTTTTAGATAAATGCACAATGTTTTTAGAGCATATGTCGCAGTATATTTTGAAACATTTGCCAAAGGCTGAGTGAGTATCTTTGTGAAATAAGGTGCTGTGAGACAATATATTTTCCTGTTGTTATGTATATGTATTTGGCCTCATACTGATTTGTCTTTATCTATCTCAGTAGGTATAAATATATATATATATATACATGCATAATATATATTATATCTATATAGATATATGGAATTATATACACTGAGTGAATTCAATTATTCATGATAATTGTAAAATGATAAGGACAATGCTACTTCTTTTTGGGCCTCATTTAAATAATATATTTTAATTCTCTATTTTTTGTTTTAGGTATTCAAGTTTACTCAATGATTTTGTTGAGTCCGAATTTTTTCTCATTGATGGGGACTCATTACTTATCACATGTATATGTGAGAAATTATTAAAGCCAGGACAGAATCTCCATTTCTTCTACCTGGTTGAACTTTATCTCATGGATCTTATTAATAAAGGAGGACAATTTGCCATAGTTTTCTTCCAGGTAACATAACAGTTGAGTTTGTTTCTATGACTTCAGAACTAAAACAAAATTCTTTAAATTATAAGTAGGTTCCTGTTATTACAAAGTAAAATACAACTTGAAAATTTAGAAGGACTGAAATGAAAAAGAGGAAAAAAAATTACCCAAACTCCAGAATTGAGCAATGACCGTGTCAGTTTATTATTGCCTTTTATTTTCAATAGAAGAATTTTATTCTAAGGATACACTGAGTCATGCTGGTGGGTTAAATATTTCAACAGGGGTCAAATTGTCCCACTTCTTCACCTCTGAGTACTAATTCTGTTACAAAACTCAGCAGTAAATTTACCTCAGTACAAAATAAAATATATTTGAGTCTAAGAAAAATGATTTGCATTTATTTGCTCAGTAGTAAATATCTGTAAGAAAATACCACATTTGGTTTTCTTAGGATGGAACTAATAACATTTGACATAACAATGATTTCAAATACAGGTATGCATCACCTCTACTACTCCTTCCTAATTCTACTCTGAAAGGTAACTAATATGGTATTTGAATACTTTGGTATGGTTCTATCTGTTCCCTTTGCATTCCACTATTGGGTCCTGACCTTGATCCCCAATCTCCCAAACGAATGTACAGCGAAGGCTTAAATAAATGAGACAGGTGGTGTGATTTTTAGGGCTCCAGGAGGGTCAAAACCATTAGCTGAGTTCAAGACTCTGAAGGCTAAGACAAAGACTTCTGTGGACCTCCCATTTTTATTAGGTCCAAAACAAAAGGAAACTGAGGAAAGAACAGGCATAGAGCAAGACTTTGGGAGTCACTTCAAAGACTTCTCTAAGTAATGCCATGTCACTTTAGGAGGCCCGCCTTATCTTCGTGATGACATTTCTGGTAGGACTGAGACTGTAGGAGTAATTCCTGCACTGCAGTCTCTGTCCACTTAATTGATGTTTGAGCCAAGTGTCCCCAGGTGTGGCCTTATCTTGCCCTTTGAGGTATCTCTGGCCTCACAGGCCACTACAGGCTTCAGCCAGGACCAGTGATTCATAGAGGTTCACTTACTATGAATCAGCTCCTCTCGCCAGGCAAGGGACCTAGGCAGGCCTAGGATAGATTCACAGATAAACATAGAAAGCCAGTTAGTTAATTTTAAATCCTGCTCAGAGCTGCTTCATAGTGGTCTTCAACATTCCACATTCTTGTTATAATCCTGAATATTGTTGAATGTTGTCCAGCAACATTATTAGAAAACAGCCAGCATTCTGAGCTAAAGTTTACAAATTACACATATTACTTTTTTTTGTACCGGGAATCGACCTCACACTTGCCAGGCAGGTCCTGTGCCACTGGGCTATATTCCCAGTTGTAACACATTACTTTGGTCTGCTGAGATAAACCTAAAGAATGAAGAAAGGTATCCATGACCTGGAGCAATCCTCTTGAGCAAAGAGAGACAGCTCTGCTCTCCAGGAGTGATAATATATACCCACCACTTGCTTTTTTAAATATATTTTTTGTCCATTTTCTTTTTAAAATGAGATTAGAAAAGAAAAGAATTAGTGAATGGGAAGGCAAAATATGGTAAACCCAGAGTATCATGTTTGTAGAGAGGGGATACATGTTTTTAAACCCAAATTGTGATTTATAAAAAAAATAGTGGTCAAATGTAAAGGTCTAATCCCTTGCTGTATAACATTAAAAAAACTGTGTTGCATTTTATTTCTTTAACACTTTACTGGTGTCTTAACCAAGTAAACTAGTGAACTGCACAATGAAACTTTCAAAATAACATGGTTCACCGTCTCTCCCTTACAGGATGCTGAGTACACATATTTCAGTGCTCCTGAGCTACTTCCTTTGAGAACTGCTTTAATTCTTCATCTTCAGAAAAATACCCACATTAATGTTTGCACTCAATTTACTGGCTGCTTATCAAAGGAGTGGAAAATGTTCTTGGATGAAAATTATCCATATTTCCTGGTAATTGCTGATGAAGGCCTGAACCATCTGCAAACACACCTTTTCAACTTTTTCATTGTTCAGTCTTGGTCAGTGAGGGTCAATGTTGTGCTTTTCTCTGGGCAAACAGCTGATATTCTTCGACTGTATGCATACTTTATGCCAAGTGTATACCAGAACCAGTGTTTTTTCAAGAAGGTAAATTTTATCTGAAAAATAATGTTCTTATAGAATTGTAAAAATTTTCTATGTTACTCAGTTTTGTTTTGACATTTTATACGGGAATTATCAAAGATCTAGCAGGAAGACAGAAAATTGAAAACAATAATTGTGATAAATAATATCAGTAATTCAAATGTACTTATTTAATACTTATTGTTACATAATAGTGCTTGATGCTTTTCTTGAATGATTTTTGTTTCATTTTCACAGTGATAGGGCCTATATTAATACCACAAAAATTTTACAGGTGAGGAGATAGGTATCTGAATGGTTTGCTGATCATCAACACAAAATGGGCAATAAACCATGCATCTGAAAAAACACAGTGCAGCTCTGACCTGTATATTCTTTTTTTTTTTTTTTTGAGACACTGTTTCACTATGAAGTTCAGGCTTGCCTCAAACTTGCAGCAATTCTCCTGCCTCAGCCTCCCAAGTTCTGGGATTACAGCGCACATCACTATGCCTGGCTGCCTGTACATTCTTAACCATTGTGTGGTATATTTACTCCAATTTAATGAAGGCCAGGGTTGCATTAAGGCAAAAATTATGTCTGTGCCGCTGAAACACATGTGTAATGAGCTTAACATGGTTTCCTTTAATAAATAGCACAGTGAAGCAGGTTAATGGGGAAGGAAAAGATTTTTTCTTTAATATTAACTTATTAGCAGGAAAAATTTTCAGGTTTTTAGAAATTTAGTTTAATGCTCCTATTATTTTGTAGTATTGTTAGGTCTGCCAACTACTTTATGGAAAGTTTTGAAGTAAAAATGTATATTGACTTTATAAACAAATCTAGTTTCTATTTATTTTTACTACTTGTAGTGAATTCTGAATATTAAGATTATCCTATATTTCAAAAAAGTATTTTGGGGTCAGTTAACATTTGAGAACTGGGCCAAACCCTTAGTGTATTTGTAGACATCCAGATGATTTTTATGAATATTAAAATAGTTTGCTTTGTTTTGGTTAGCATTCCTATCATTAAATTAATTCTGATTCTGCTTGTCTGCTGTAAGAGATTCACTTTTATATTAGAAAGAAGCATTACTATCATTGAGTTCATTTCATTTTGTTAGGGCAACTTACTAATCTCAGTTTTAAGAGCCTCTTGCAAACATCTTTCTCAATTCCTCCTAAAGAATAATTTTTCTTTCTTAAATAAAGGATTCCATTTCAGGTAAAATAATGTTTTTCTGACTTAGTTGAACATTCACCTTAAAGAGTTTTAATTAACCAATGTGAAGACTATCTGTAATAGAATTAAAACGCAATGAGATACATTTTATTAGTTCTCTTGAGTGCTACATGAAAACAGCTAACATGATGGTGGCTGATATTGGTGTGATAGCTGTGGGAATTTTATGCTATTAATGTATATGTTTGAAATTTGCCATAATAAAACATGCTTTATGGGAGAGTGTCACAATGTTTTATAATTAGATTGTGATTGTGATTACACAACTTGATGAATTTACTAAAAGACATTGAATTGTATATTTAATGTAAGTGACATTTATATTGTTTTAGTTGTGTCACTGTGAAACTACTAAAAAAACGAAGCCTACCATGTATCTAGCAAAGATAAAATAGTGCACTCAGGCAGACTTTCAAAAGATTACAAAATACCTGCAATTACATTAATGTAATTTCTTAAATGTAGAAATATAGTGTAATGGTTACATCTTAAATGTCTGATTTTCTATACTTGCAACACATTTAGATGTCAGTTTACTTGAACTTTTGTTTTTGTTTTTACAGAATGAAAAGGTGATTCAAAATGCTTATAGAACCCTGCTTAGACAATTGAAAAACCATAGAGTTTTCGCATTAGAACCTCTTTTCAAAAATTTAACATCAAAACATATGATGGAAGAGGTAATGATATGTTTAAAAGAACTTTTTTTGATTTTTTAATTATAGAAAGGTTTCAAAAATAATTTGTTTCCTATTACTTATTTTCCAGTTTCCTCTGATGATAATTTCTTATATAAAAATGGTGCATTTATCAAAACTAGAAAATTATCATTGGTGTAGTATTGCTAACTCAGTGTCACATCTTATTTTTACTTATTTTTACACACATGCGCACAGACACACACCCACACACCCCCACACACACTTATATGTATGTATTTGGTTTCTGTTTTCCTCCAATCTGAAATAGTTTAAGTCTTTCCTTGTCATTCATGACTTTGATAATTTTGAAGCATGTTGATAGTTATATAAAAATATACTTCAGTTTGGGCTGGTCTGATGCTCTGTACTGATTGCATGTACTGATGCATTTTTAGTAAAGGTGTCATTGAATTAATGCTGCATGCTCTGTGCATGGTAGCAAAGGGTTAATGGTGATTCTATCTTCACTCTGGTCAAGCTGGGACCTTGAGAGCTTTCTCCCTTATAAAGTTACTATCATCCCTATGCAACAAATAAGCACCTTGGGGGAGATGCTTGGTGACTATTCAAATTTTGTTTATTCCTAAATCATTGCTCATTAATTTTAGCATTCATCAGTGGATCTTGTCTGCAATAGGTATTATTGATGTTTTTGCCTAATGATGACTTTCTATTTAATTCTTTACTTTCATATTTATTAAATGGACTTCTACCATAAATGGAGCTATCTTAGTTTTACCATGTAAGGACTAATAAGTATCTAATCAATAAGCTAAAATCCAATATTACAATAATTTTGCTGCTTGTACTGTTCCAGGTTTGAGCATAGAGACTCCTTTTTGTTGGCACTTGTATACTTTACCCACTTCCTTTATTTTGAGCATTTTCTTGCTTTTTGAAATCCCAAGATGTTATAGCCTCATCTTGTTTTTTTCTTTCCCTGCTATGAAATTGTCACTTTTCCAAAGAGTTCTGGTTACAATTTTCTTTTTTTTAAATGGGGTTGAGAAATCAAGAGATGGAAACTGTGTTTGTTCATGGCTACTGGACACTATGACTCTTCAGAGATCAAACTAGGAAATATCTGTATACTAACCCTCTGTAAGCGTGAGTCTACAGTTTTATTTATCTTTCCACCCACTTACATGTCATCTTCTTTGTGCCCTGTACCAAATGTCATGCATTCATATTATTCTCTTTTACTACATTTCAATTTTGTAGCTTCATTTTAAACTTCTGTTTGTCACTTCTATACCAATTATGAAAAGTTTAACTTTATTTAACTATAATGTATTTATTCACTCATTTGTATTATAGACGTAAACTAGTATTAGAATTTCTAAATTTATCCTGTGAGAACCATCCACTGAGTAGATTATATCAGTTCTGTGCAGTTCTTTTCTCTCATGTACCCTTGACTTATGAACTCAATTCATCCCGAGGACTGGTTGTAACTCAAGTTTTCTATTAAAGCTTCAGGCTTCTCTAAAAGCCTTTAGTCTCTTTCCTGTATAAAGCAAATCTCAGTGTCCTTAGAGAGACATAGGCCCAGGTTTTCTCAAATAGCTCTGTACAGTAGAGAATGTTGTAATGTTCCCTTCATACCTCTTCAAGGGTTAAATCTGTGTCCGAGACCATCTAGAAGCACAAGCAGCCAGCGTTCAGGTCAAAATCCAAGTTGTTTGTATGTCAGGCTGGTCCTAACTTGAGGTTCTACTATATCTAGTTTTAAAATATTTTAATATAAGCATACCTTGGTGCTCAATTGCATTGAAACCTGTTGAATTTGGTACTTGATGACAGTTTTGTCACTGTATTTAATTGTTTAGTGTTCACCACACAAGCTAGAATTTGTCAGTTGACTGCTTCATGACTTACTTCCCTTCCAAGGCAAAATAGTTCATTTTGTACTTCTTGATTTTGCTATTCTTTGTGTCGCCTCCCAGAACTGATTAACAAAAGTACTACAATCTTTGTCAAAAATATTCAGGTTAGTTTATTCCTTACCCATCTCCTTTTGTAAGGCTATGTTACTGCTGACATAGTTAGGTTTATTGGTGAGAGACCAGAGAACCTACGCCCATGCCTCTACCACCCACCAGACACACATAAAGGTATCCCTTATCAATACATGGTAGTAATTTAAAATTTTTGAAAATTGGCTTTTGCAAATAACTCTGTGATAAACATGTCAACACATAAATCTTGGTGCATAGTTTGGACTAAGCATTTATGCTAGATCCCTAGAACTTCCTAGAACTTGATACTCAAAAAGCATCAACATATTTAAGGGTAACTATATGGATTATCAAATAGCTTTGCATTTAAGTCTGTGCCTATTTTTTGCTCTGATTAGCAAAAAATAAAAGAAATAATACACCACATTTTTCAGTTCTGCCTGTTATCATTAAAATATTTTGTTAATTTGAAAGTCAAAATATGCAAATGTTAAAATAATTATTAAAATAGTTGAATATTTTCCTGTTTTAATAATATTTGCCTTTCTTTTGAGCATTATAGTGTTATTTAAGTGTTGGGCATTTTTGTATTGATTTGTACAAGATATTTGCATATTTATATTTTGAATGGTTTCACTGAATAATTAATTATAATTCATTGTAGTCTTGTTTATTCACTTTTTTAATACAATTTCTCCTATCATTTATGAATAAAATATTTTTCTAAATATCATGATGTAAGAACCCACGGGAGTTCTTGAACCCAAACTGTGAATCTGCCTGGCCTCTGCAGCCCAGCAACTCTCAGAGCAAAAGTGGTTTCCCTGACGAGAGTCATGGTGCGGCAGTGGTCACCTTGGTGGCCTGGGCAGTGGCCGAGGTGGGTGCGGCCAGAGCCTGGGAGCAGAGCAGGCGCCGCCACAAATGATGGCTGCCTTAATACTTAAAGTGGAATTCATCCTTTCCAGCTTCAAAACTGGAAGCACAAAGTCTAACAAAGAAAGCAGAATTCAAAGGTACAACAGAAAAATTTAAAAATCAAGTTATTATTATAAAAAATAAATATAGCCATTTCTATACACACACACATAAAATCAAGACTTCAGAATTGCTGGAAGAATTGGGAAATAAAATTAACAGCAGGAAATGGAAAGAGCAAAAATCCAGCAACGATTAGCCCAAATATATAACAATGTAAGGAAACATCAGCATCAGTTAAAAGATGTGAAGCCTACACCTGATTTTGTTGAAGAGTTCAGAGAAGTGATGGAAGAAATTGAACATGCAATTAACACTTGTAAAGAAGAGCGAAGACATACATGATAAGCTTATTAAGGAACAGAAAACAACAAATAATGACTTGAATGCCATATTGAGACAAATTGATTCACGGGCCTTAGGTAATTCAGAAACAAGGGAGCTTTCAGAGCAATCTCAAGCAAAGTTCCCATAGGCAAAATGAGACCAAAACCTCTTCTAGAAGCCGTGATTGGTTTTGAAAAATTCCTTCAGCAAACAGGAGGACAACAGGAGGCTGGGGCAATTATGACCATGAGAACTTCGTAAAGATAAGAAACAAACATAAGAAGAAGCCTGCACTTATGAGAGAAGTTCTAGAACACCTTCCAGGAAGAATGCAGGATGAATTTCAACAGCATGAGAAATGGTATCAAAAGTTTCTGGTTCTAGAAGAGAGAAAAAAGTCTATTCACAACTGGAAAACTAAAAAGCAGCAAGAGAAGCATGAAATTTTCAAGTTCCAAAGAGAAAGCATACAACATTCCTGTTCCTTCATAATAAACCAGAAGGCAGTTAAAAGCAAAATGAAGAAGGAAAAAAAAAAAAAAAAAAAAGAAACGGAAGCTGGCAACTGAAGCTTGAAAAACAGAAACATATCCAACTGTCCATGAAATATGCTTCTAAGTTAAAAGAAGAGGAAGAGAAAGAAAAATAAAAAAACAGCAAAAAGAGCACCAACACTAACTTAAATTAAAATTACTACCAGAGGGCTGGGGATTTAGTTCAGCGGCGTAAGTGCCTGCCTTGCAAGCACGCTATCATGAGTTCAATCCCTGGTACCAATTAAAAAAAAAATTACTACTAGAAAGTTACACTCAGCAGAAAAAAGAACAGGAAGAATTTCTGAGGCTTAGAAAGGAGAAGAAAGGGCAGAAAAAAGGAAAACTGTTGCTGATGAAATTACTAGATTTCAAGAAAGATTTATAGAAAGTTGAGTTGAAAATTCTAGGTAGATAGGCAAAAGAGGAGGAAAAGGCAGGGGGAAAAAACCCAACCAAACGTAACTGGCAAACTTAAAGGAAAAGTTTGAAAATAATGTTAGGTGGACATCCCTCCAGACTTTTCAAACTTACCAAATGTTGGGAAGAATGGACCAAAACCACAGCACCGACAGGCTCTGGGCCACTTCTACATATCCCACACAAGGCTACTCCAACCTGCAGACAAGGAATTTAGAGAAAAACATGAGATAATGGAACTGCTGTTCATTTGACGGGAGTTCTAGCATGTTCTGCAATACCAAGAGGGTATGACTAACTATATTCTTTTAAATATTAATCTGATTGATTATTGTGCTGTGTATAAATTGAGAGGTATTTTAAGTTTCATGCTGCATCATGAATGGTTCCTGTTTCTTCTAAAAGGGTATTTAGAAGATATATTATTGATATAAAAGTTATTTATATAAATTTATGTTACAAGAATGATCCATTTAAGTGCTCAAAGCATGTCAGAGATACTTTGTTTTTGTCATGGCATAGAAAAATGTTGAGACAATCATAGAGAAATGTTTTTTAAACCAAAATTTTGTAACTTTTGTAATTTTTAAGTAAGTTAAAGAGTTACAAAATAATTTAGTACTTTTTCTAAGTTTAACAAATTGATAGTTCGTCAATCGTTACATTTTTGTGTAATAAATATTTTGTATTTTAAAAAAATATCATGACATGCTACAATTTTCTTAATAACAGGCTTATGAGACTGTATGTCTGCTTCAGCAAGTCTGGCCAGAAGGATCTGACATTCGACGAGTTCTTTGTGTTACTTCGTGCTCACTGTCTTTAGGAATGTACCATCACTTCTTAGAAAACAGAAAGGAGACTACTGCTAAAGAGGAGACTAACAACAACAAGGTGTGACTATTACAACTTTACTGGCAAACTTTACTGCTCCCCACTTTTGGCTTTTATTATCATCTAACATTTCTCTTCTGATACTGAAATTATTGCATAATTTCTACAATAGGAAAAACACTAGAATTTATCATATTTTTACTTTAGTTTTTGTAGTACTGGAAATTAAGTTTATGGTCTTATGTATGCTAAAAAACCTAGAATTTATATTGTCCCATTTAATTAAATATATCCACTTTATTGTTATTGGGCATACTTTTTAGATACACTGCCATCCATGGGGTCTCTTCAACTAATTTGCAGTATTAGTTTTAATACGTGATGCCTTCAACATAACAGAGCTTTTAATGTACGAATTCAATCTTGTGGAATCCCCTGTGATTGTAACTTCATTAGCTGCTTGATCAGCTCATGTAATGTTTGGCTTAACTAAAAATTCTGAGAAATATCTCATGCTAAATGGTATTAAACTGAATGTTTCCATTCTACTTTACCTCAAATACATATTAATGCTTAAAATCATTGTCACAAAAATGAAGTGAAGAAAATCTCATAATCTCTATGTGGCAGAGCAGTGCTGTCAGCTGTTGTAGTTCTGCGTTCTTTCATAGCTGGCTATTCTCTGACTCATCTTCCATGTTTTATTTAGGTGACAAGCAATTGCTTAACCCTGCAAGATGCAGAGGATTTGTGCAAACTGCATTGTCTCAGCGTGGTTTTTCTTCTACACATACCTCTTTCTCAGAGAGCTCGTTCTAGATTCATCACGTCCCATTGGATTAAGGACACTCAGATATTCTTTAGAATGGTAAATGTAATTGCTACTGGTTTGGTACTTTTGTCTCAACTGTTTGCTATGTAAAAGCCTCAATATCCTTCAAAATAGACTCATATGGGGACAATATTAGCCCTTTAAAAGAGCTTTTAAAGGTTAGTAACCTAAATGAATCAGTTGATGAATTTCAACATATATATGAATATATATATATATATATATATACATATATATATATGAATGAAAAATAAACATTTTTCTTCCTTTAAATCTCTGTCAAGCTCAAGGTTTTACGTTATCAACTATTGGAGAATGCTGGTGAACATTGTGTTCTGTTCTGTTCTGTTCTGTTCTGTTCTGTAGGAAAGCTAAAGAAATTAGTGTCATGTTTTGTTATTGTTTGTTATGGATGATATCTAGTGAAAATTTGGAGACTTAGGGAAATAGAAAGCAAAGACAAAATGAAGATTTCCAGAGACCCACCACTTAATTGTAAATTGGTTTATTTTCTTCAGTTGAAACATCTAGATTTTTCTGTTGTTTCCCATGTTATAAACACACGTATTTTTCCTTTTCATGTATTTTTCCATTTTCATATGTTTTTCTATTTTATTTTATAACATTTTAAGCATCACTATTAGTGGCTACTAGTTATCTTTTAATGGAAGTACCATAGTTGACTTACCCATTTCTTTGTCATATAATACACACATACACACACTATAACACAAACATATATACATAGAATATACATAAACTTTTTTTATTGCATTTTACATGTTCTTATATTTTTTAAATGTATATTTTTTGGGTTTAATACCAAAAATGGTATTAAGTGAATTAATTGACATGAATTTTTTTTTAAAAAGAACCTTGGCACACATAATCAAAATGGTCAAGGAAGGTGATTTTTAAAATCCATGAGGGAGCCTTTCCATGCTCACCTCACATTTGAATTGGGCTAATTTGGAGGATACAGGAAGAAAGAGACACTTTTACAGTCCCATTCTGCACACAGTGGTTTTCACAGTGTGATTTTCTGAACGATATCAGCAAAATGTGGAAATTCTTAGAATTTCAAATTCTTAGGTCTCACCCCAGACCTACTGACTCAGAAGCCCAGAAATCTGCATTTCATTTAACCTTTTTGGATGAGTCTGATGCTGAAGTTTATTAACAGCTGTTCTATGACTTTGGGAAACCCTCTTTAGTGACTCATTTGTAGATAAAACTACATTGTAGTTACAAGGGCAATCTCTCTGACTTACCTGTTTGGAGCCAGCCTGTCAAATGCAATAGCCAATAGACCCAAGTGGACCCTGAGCTCCTAGAGTGTGAGTGGTCTGGATTGAGGTGTGCCATATATTTAAAAGAAATAATTTAGTATGAAAAACATGTAAATGATCTAAATTTGAAGACCCAATCTGTTAATATCTTTCAATTTGTTAGGTGTTATAATAATAAATTATCAAAATTAACTTAAAATTAAAAAACATAGCATCTGGTAAATTGAAAATAACTGCTAGCTCATTCACATTATTGAAATTGGACAATGGCAGGTTAAAGCTCCATATCAATGTCAATAAATAAGTCATTTCCATGTTAAGAACATTGTATTATGTTATTAAGGGAGTGAAGGGCACAGAAGCCTCGGTCTCCTCTCAGTTTACCTTTGCAGACGGCTTCACTAAATGAACCCAGCTCAGCTCCTGCTTCTGTCCTATGTGCTCTGACCAGAGTGAAGGCATTCTGCCTGTGTTCAGCAGGAGCATGGCCTCACACTCACGAACTTGTGCATGGGCAGCTGTGCAAGTGGATAGGGATCTTTGAGTTTGAAGGAATCAGCATCTTTTACATCTCTGGACGCTCAAAGTTGTTTTCAATATGTGGTGTCTTTATTTTAATGTTCTTTAATTTTAAATTTTTATCAGTACATATTTGTAGTGCATAATGATTGCATTTATTTAGGAGAAAGATACATACACATAACACATCTCAGTTATTTTTTTTCCTTCTCTTCCACTTACCTTTTATTCTTCCAGCATCAGAATTATTTATTTATAAGTCATTATAGAGTTAATGTTCATATATATATATTTATATATATATTAACAACTAGACTAATAGGCCAAATAACATAAAATGTACAAGATAAACTAAATCGAGGAATACTAAAATTTGGATTACAACAAATCAGAAATCTGCACAGCAAAGGAAACCATCAATAGAGTGAAGAAATAATTTACAGAATATGAAAAAAAATCTTTTGCCAGATACTCCTCAGACAAAGGAATATATCTAGACTATATAAAGACCTAAAAAATTAGATCCCCCAAATTTAAAGCCCCAGTAAAAAGTGGGCATGTGAAATGAATAGACATGGTCAGATGAATAGATACAAATGGCCATGAAATATATTCAATGTTGCTGATCATTCGGGAAATGAAAATTAAAACGACACTCCACAAGGAATGGTTGCCATCAGGAAATCAACCAATAACAAATGCTGTCAAGGAAAATGCTGGGGAGAAAGGTATCTTTCTTCATTGTTAGTGGGAATGTAGCTGATGTAACCACTGTGGAAATCAGTATAGAGAATCCTCAAAAATCTAAAACTAAAAATTCCGTTTGACTTAGCTATTTCTCTCTTAGGCATCTTCTCAGAGTCAGACATCATACCATGGTGATGTGTGCATACCCAGATTTATAACAGCATAGTTAACGATAGCAAAATTTTGGAAACCGTCTATATGCCCACCAACAGATGAGTGAATACAGCAAATGTGTTTACACACCGTAGAGGACTACTGTGCTGTCAGGAAGGGTGAAGTCGAGTCTTTTGTAGGAAAATGGATACACCTTGATATCACAAGGCCAAGTGAAGTAAATTAGATGCAAAAGCTTAAATATAATGCGGGTTTTTTCTCTTTTATTTTGGTCTGGGGAATCAAACTCAGGACTTTGTGCTTGCCAGGCAGGTGCTAAATCCCCAGTTTTCTGTTATGTGAAAAACTCAATAAATAAAATGTGAAATAAAAGACATACAATAGGAAAAAAATGAAAAAGACAAATTATACTCTTTTGATGGAAAGTACAACTGGAAAACACTGAAACCTAAGGAATGAACAGAGACACATCTGAGAGCAGAAGTTTTTCTGTAGCTCTCAAACCCTTTGTGGAGCACAGTGTGAGGAAAGAAATTCACTTAGAGGCATATACAGGCTTCACTGATTTGGGATAAAGTACTATATTTAATTCATTTTTTCTTCAGTTTTGATTGTATTTTTTGCTTTAATATTGTAAGGAATAAACATCATTGTCCAGCCTGAATTATATGAATAAGAATTCTCATTTGCTCTTTAATTTGAATATAGAAATACATAAAATCATTCTATGTTTAATGCTAATTTGAAAATTGTCAATAATTTTTATTTTCAATTTTTCAGAAAAAGTGGTGTGAATATTTCATCCTATGTAATACAAATGTTTTGGAATTTTGGAATCTGAATTTAACTCATCTTTCTGACTTAAGTGATGAACCTTTGCTGAAGAATATTACCTTTTATTATGAAAATGAAAATGTAAAAGGTATGACCTTACTATATGATAATAATTATACTTCAATCCATAGATTAGCACTATAAAAGATTTAAAAGTTTAAAGTAACTTTTTTCCTTTCTTTTTTATTTTTTTGGTACCAGGGATTGAACTCACAACCTCATGCTTCCCAGGCAGGCAGGTGCTTAGTTCGCTGAGCTAAATCCCCAGCCCTAAAATAATTTTTCAATACTTTAATTAACAATTATTTTGTTTTTTCCCAATGTTCATTTATATATGTAATTTTTATGTGATTGCAATCAGAAGGAATACTGCATTTAAAAATATTATTTCTTAGAAATACTCCAAAATATTTTTGGAAAAAAATGTTTGTTTGATATTTCCATATAATTTTAATAGTTCAAATTTTTTATTTGTATGCATGCATAATATTTCCTCGTAAAATTTCTCTAATTGATGTAACTATTTCACTCCTATTATTTAGGAAATTTTAATTTTTTCCAAAAGCTAAGCATATATGCTTATATTATATACGTAATTTGTTTTTTTTGGAATTTTTTGTAGGAATATTTTGCCTGATATTTCTTGACAGTTGAAAAATAAAATATTTTCAGAGAAATGTAACTGTTATTAAAGCTTCTTTGACAGGATATTTTGTAATTGTCAAGCACTGGAATTAATTGGCTATGTACACATTTATGATTCTTTACTAATTTTCCATCACTCAAAAAGAAGTTTTAATTTAGTTTTATTGTTCAAGGTTGCACGTGACTTTTTTTATTATCTTAAAAACAATGAAATATTTCCTATCTGTTATTACTAGAGTTACAATCCCCAGTTATTAAAAACAATTAACTTTAATGTCTACAATTTCCATTTAGATCCAGTATGGAACATATTGAAAATTTCACTAGCTAACACATATTCAGAGTTCTATGAATAGAGTCAAAATGTGTGCCTCTATGTTTGTGTAAATATCTTGTAATAGTAGGTCTCTTTAATTGTTATATAGGTCTACATTTGAACTTGGGAAGTGCCATTATGAAAGACTATGAACATCTCTGGAATACTGTGTCAAAATTGGTAAAAAAGTTCAAAGTGGGAAACCCATTTCCTTTGAGAACAACCACACTTCAGTTTCTTAAAAAGAATCCATCATCAATCAAAGGTAATGGTTACTTAATTTAATTTGAAACAAAAGCATGATTCTTCTCAAATGTTTTCAAAACACAACTATTTTAATGTATTTAAAGTATAAATAATTTTCTGATGCTATGTATTTTGATAAATGTCACATACTTGGAGTGGTAAACTATGACTGCAATTAGAAGACTTATGCTAGGCTTATAAATGATGCTGCTACAGTTTTTCCTCAAACCAATATGTGCATTGCCATATATATAAATATGTAGAGTAGTATACAGTGGTACCTCAGCTCATGAACTTAATTCATTCCATGGTTTTAGTCTCAAACCACATCAGACAAGAACTGAATCAGTTTCCCCTAAGGTGGACATTCAACCTAACCACTCAATTCAAGGATGTGAGTCTTTATTCCTAGCACTTTAGAAGCCCAGCATCACTTCTACCCACCAAGACAACAGGTTGTGCAACATCATGAGACTATCTGCTAACAAAACCAAAGACAAAAACAAAAACAAAAACTAAACAACGGGTAAATTAGGCACCAAGGAATGAAGAAGCAGTGGCACATCATGAAAGTCAGTGCCAAGCCATTGCTGCCCTGGGAACATTTGCTCTGTTAGTGATTCATGGGCTGGATCCCAGCTGTTCTGGGAGGCCACAAGAGATAAGGACAGAAGGGAGACGGTGACCAACTCTACTCAAAGCCAGGATTCTTAGCGCAAACCTCGAAGGCTAGATCTGTTTTTCAGCAGAGGAAGGTGACGAACAAATCTCACTGGACCTACAACAGTATAAATTACTCTGACAACCTGAAGTGTGAGTTTAAATTATTAGTAGAGTCGAGGCAAATTTGAGCCAGAAAATTAAAGAGATAAAAGGGATCTAACAAGTTCTTGAGAACAAGTCATAAATCCTAGTTTTTTTTTATAATTTTAAAATGAAAAAGAATAAAAATGATACAGAATTTCAAAATGAAATAATAGTAGATTAACTATGACTAATATATTGTATATTGCTCAAAGTAGTTGTTCAGATTATAAGATATAGGCATGAAAAAATAATCAAATAATGAAAGCACAAACCATTCTTTTTGATCAACAGAAATTAGTAGTACATTTTATCCATGTATCTGTGTATATATCTATCTGTGTATATATGCTTATATATAAAAATCATTTCCCTTCTTAAATCCATGTTTCATAGAGCTATCAAATATGAACACAAATATAAATTTAACAAACAAATGAGAAAATAAGATATAAGGAATTTTAAACTATAGTTAGGTATAATGTTTTGAATTTTGTAATTATAACTATTATATACGTATTGTGTGTTTTAAAATATTTACAAAATTAAATATGAATTCTGAAAATGAGAGAATAATCACAGACTTTTAAAACCCATTTAATTCACATTTTAAAATAATCACTTTTAAACATTAAAAAAAAGATGAAGCAAGATATATCACAAACCTTTACAAATTCCCAATGTTGGGGCTGAGGAGTAGCTCAGGGTTGAAGTGCTCACCTAGAATGCAGGACGCCATGGGTTCCATACCTGATCTCACCAAACAGAAAAAAAATTTCCCTGTGATGAATATTATCACTATGTATATTTAAAGAGTGCCAAGAGAATTTTTAAAAAGTCAGTGATACATGAACTTTTTAAAAGCATATTATTATATTATTATAAGTATTATTAAATATTATTATAAAATAAAAATATTGCCAATGAACAGGATAGAAAGATGATTGGATATTTGTAGGAGAATTTACAAAATTGAAATAGATACAAAGAATGGTAGATAAATGAGACATGGGGAGAAAACTATTGCACAATACCACTTAATTAGGGAATCCAGAAAAATAATTAATACAAAGAACATAGAGTAAAACATTACTTGTGATGTGGGTGGGCATGTTGAAGGCACGGGAAGATGTAGGTTAAAGGGTAACAAATTTGCAGGCGTGTGGAATGGTAAGTATGGATGGCTAATGGATGTGTGATAAGTATAGTCAAAATGTTGAACGTTATACTTTGTACTATTAACTTGGAAAGAATATAGATTTTAGTGACTTAGCCCAAAATCAAAGAAACAAAGGAAAATGAGTGGTAATAATATGAGGTGATCATGTAGTGCTTGAAATAATAGGTAAGACACTCGAAATCTTTTCATATAATTATAGTTAATCTCAAGGGAACCAGACTTTTAATACATACAATAAAATATTTAATAGCACACACAGATGTAAAGAAATATGAAGGATAGAAACAAGTCTAACCTTTAATGCTTTTTGGAGATCCAGAAGAGGAGAATGAATTAATGTTAGTTGGGCAACTTTTAAAGAAGTAAAGATGAACATTTACTTGCATTGATAAAAGACAAGAATTTGTACATTCAGAGCATATTATGGATCACAAGTGTGATAAATTAAACACATATAAACTCACAAATGAATACATATAGTAGACAAAATATAGCAAAATTGTAGAATGCCAAAAATAAAGAAATATGTTAAAAGGACCAAAGTTATCCAAAGGAACAAAAATTAGACTAATAATAGACTTCCCAATAGCAACGACAAATTCCAACGTATAATAGAAGTACATCTAACTCATATATCCACATATAATTAAAAATGGAGTAATAAGTAACATATACCTTTGGAAAAAATAAAATGATTTACTCATTAACACAGAAGCACTGAAAATACTCCTGTGTGATGAATTTCAGGAAGAAGAAAATGATACAGAAGAAACATGAAAGTTGTAGGGAACTCAGAGTGTACTGGTGTAAGGATCTTTTTCAGAAACACGGGGAAGTGTTAACACATTTACTCTTTTCTTTTATCAAAATGTGTTCCTTCTGTCAAAGACCATTGAATTCAAGCAGTTTATTAATCCCAAGATGATCCAGTAAGGGACTGTTAGGTAAGAACTGGAAGCATGTGGAACATGCTAATTAATAAGCGTCCACTGTTCACAACCACAGGTGATTTCACTGAGAATCTTGAATGTCCAGGATGCCTTAGAGGCGTCTTACTGGAAAAGCGAGATAGCCGAAGTGTTTGCCATCTGCTTCCTGCCATGTTGTTGGACGAAGATTTTCCTTAACCTTTCTTTCCTGGTTCAAATGGGCTGTGTGCATAAGACTTTAGGAAATATTTTGGGGGCTTGCAACAGGAAGATATTTGGAGAAGCACAGACCCAGTGATCACTGCCAGGTTAACAGACAGATCAGTTGCAATTTACCTGCTGCTGTGAATCACACACTGAATAAATTCATTAGCCTATTTTAGTTTACCTATCTTTCTGTCATCTATTTATCTACTTATCCATCTATGTATCTATCATCTATTATCTATATATATCTATTATCACCTATTATGTATTTAGCATTTATATGTCTATATCTATTTATTATCTATCATCTATCTATGTATGTATCTATCTATGTACTGCCTGTGTGACTCTGTGATTATAAAATTTATATATAAAAAGGACTCATGAGAGCATTGTAATGGTAACAAATAATTTCTTTTCCATTTTTATTTTTCCCTACTTTTTGATTTCATTTTCATGAAAGTGTGTGTGTGTGTGTGTGTGTGTGTGTGTGTGTGTGTGTATGTGTGTGTGTGTGTCTGTTGTCTTTTGGACTGACACTTCCATTTTAAAATTCCTTGTTTCACAATTGAGATATAAGAGAAATAAACATTTGATTTTTTTTTGCAATACTGGAAGATTGAACCAAGGGCCTTCCCACTGAGCTACTCAATTCTTTTTTAGTTCTTGTTTTGAGACAGGGTCTTGCTAAATTGATAAGTTACCCAAACTGGGCCTAAAATTGTGATTCTCCTACCTCAGCCTCCTAGAGTGCTGGGGATTACAGGTATGTATCACCAAACCCAACTAAGAAATAAAAACTTGAAAATAAAGAGCAGAGCCATACATGTATGTATCCATCAATCCACCCACCCATCTACCTACTTTCATGCTTAAATATCAGCTATTTTCTTCATATTCTTCTATGTTTGAAAGTTTAAATATGGCAAATAGGTTATGGGAAAGGCTGGAATTTATAAATGTAATATAAAACATTTTTCATGTGAAGTTTAGAAAAGAATACATAAAATTCCTATATGAAAATTTACATTTGACCTTATCTTTATGTTTTGTTTACAGATAGCTCCAAGGAAAAGATTCCTAATTTGGGTTTTATTCCAATGTCATGTCAAATGGTTGACAAATTTTCTGGAGACATTTTGAAAGATTTACCTTTTCTAAAAAGGTAGGGGCTAAAAATATACTTTAAGCAGTAAGCAGGATAAGTTATTTAGTAAGGATGCCTTGAAATGTACCAGATTAGAGTACATTACATGTATTCTATATTTGTAATATGTAATGAACTTAATATCAAAAATTTCAATACATTTTGACTTCACTGTATAAATGTTTTTGATTTTAATATTATTGTAAACTACCACAGGCACATGTTGCTAAATAATAAATTAGTAGTGAACATTCATTGTTGTCAACAGGACAATTAGAGGTGAAGGGTGGATTCTTGAGCCTGTAATAAACTATTTTTTGGGCTCTATAATCCACATTGTATCACAGAAGGAGGTAGGAAGATATGGATTTCAAAGTTATTAGTATTAAATAAAATCTGTGCTTTGATATGTTAGGAGGGATTTAAAATATATTTACTTTTTTGGCTCACAGTGATGATCCTATTGTTACTTCACTGGTTAAACAGAAGGAATTTGATGAACTCGTGCACTGGCATTCTCACAGACTCCTTAGTGATGATTATGATCGGACAAAAAGCAGCTTTGAAGGTGAGTTCTCAGACTTCAGTTTATCTTCTCCTCTGTTTTCTATTTATAGAGAAAAATGATCACATTATCATTCAAGAATTAAATATTTTTAAATGAGAATAGAACATGTTATGGTGGATATATTGTGTTAGCTTGAGAAGTTTAGAAGTTGAACTAAGAGACCCAGAAGGGAGCCAGGATCCTTACTTTGTAAATATCCTCATCCTGTGCAAGAGGAGGGCACAGAGATTTTGTGAGTACCGCACTCACCCTAAAGGGGGGCGAATTGTGTACAGTATTAAGGGAGGAGAAGAGGCTTGCTCCCCTCTACCCTTGTGCTCTGGCTGCTGTCTTGAAGTGTTGCCCTGTGCCATACCACCCTGCCTTGCAGCTTAGCTGATTATGGACTGAAACCTCCACAAACAGTGAGCTAAATAAACCTTTGTTTCCTTCATTTTGGATGTCAGGTATTTTGTTCCAGAAATAAGAGAAAAGTAACCAAGAGAGCACATAAGATATTTTGCTGTACATTAGGAAAGATAATAAAGAAAATTCTTGTTTTCTTTATATTCATATGTAGATTTAGAGGAGGAAGCACTCAGATGTGGTATTTGTCTCTACAAGAGCGAGGCACTAGAAAGTCTTATCAGCCTGCTTATATCAATAGCTATCAAAATTCCACAAAATGTGAGGTGATATGGTAAAATTCAGATTTTTCTCAGTCTTTTAGCTTGACATGTTTAGATTCATACAGAGAAATAAGCCACCATAGGCACACATGTTGGTAAATAGTGTAGATTTTTGGAGGATGTGGAAGTAAGTCAGACTTTCTTTGTTGGATCTTCGTGTGCCATTGGATTTTTCCCAAGATTCCAGCTCATGTTTTTTATTAAGAGTAACAACTTTTTCTACTCAATGATGTGAGAAGTCAGAATAATCTAGATTATTTTCTTCTTGATTCTGCATGTATCTTCTAAACCTAATTTTTAGGTCACAGGTCACAGAAGTAATGCCCAGAATCTTTCACTTTTTTGTGGCACCCTGTATTTTGCTTTTGGAAAGTAGGCCATGAAACACATTTTGTTACCTGTATCCTTTAAGTACAATACAAAATTATCCACTCAAGTGATGGGCTGAGTTCAGATTAGCTGTTAAGCAAAAGTAATCAGGTCAAATTAGTGTTCTATACTAGAAAGCAAAGTGTGTTTCAGTGTGGGATAGTGTCAGGTAGATAGAATGCCACTGAAAAGTACAATCATATTGCATTTTAAATCTATTCTTTTTCAGGAAAGACTAAAGACCCTTGGGTTCAAAAAGATCTGCAAAAATATCATCGTTTTCAGCGTTTATATGGAAATTCATTAGACCCAGTGTCTTCAAAACTCATTGTGACTCAAGACATAAAGTGGAAGAAGAATTTTAAAGAGGTGAAGAGCAAAAAGACACATGTAAGATTCAAGACATCCTATACATTATTAGTTATTTTTTCTTAAATTACTATTTGTTCAATTCTTTGATAATTTCTTTCTGCATGTATACTTTCTTTTTATAATGAGTACTTATAAATCTAACTTAGTTGGTAAGAACATCTAATCTGCATGTATAAAATTGTATGTATTCCTCTGCCATGACATCATATGCATTAATTGGAAACAAATACAGCACATTAAGTGACTAAAGTCACAAATTTAGAAATATTGAAGTAATATTAAAACACAGTTATTTACTAGTAAATAACTGAGACAATACTCTAGCTATGTATTTCAGTCTGTCCTTGAACCTTCTACAGTATGTAGCCCAGGTTGGCCTCAAACTTGTGGTGATCCTCCTGCCTCAGCCTCTCAAGTACTGAGATTACAGGTGTGCACCACCATACCTGGCTTAATTTCTTTCTATATTCTAGATATTAGTACTCTGACTAAGGAACAGCTGTAGAGAGTTTTTTTCCATTCTGAAAGGTTTTTTTTCCCACTCTGTTGTTTCTTTCAGTGTCCAGAAGATTTTAAATTTAATGTGATGCTATTTTTCCATTCTTGCTGTTATTTCTTGTGCAATTAGAATTTTATTCAGAAAGGCTTCACATTTGCCAGTGATTTCAAGAATTTTACCCATTTTTTCTTATAGCAGGTTAAGTGTTTTTGTTTTAACATTTAGTTCTCTGGTCCATTTCAATTTTAATTTATTACATGGTGAGAGATATGGGTCTATAATATTCTACATGTAGCTAGCCAGTTTTCCAAGCATCATTTATTAAAAAGGCTTTTTTCCCCTCCAATGTATATTTTTGGCCCCTTTGTAAAAAATCAAATAGTTGAATGTATTTGGAATTGTTTCTGCATCCTCTGTTGTGTTCTATTGCTCCTCAGGTATGTTTCCATGCCAGTACAATGCTGTTTTTATCACAGCAGTTTGTAATATAACTTCAAGTTCAAAACTATGATGCCTCTTACTTTGCTCTTGAACCAGGAATTGCTTTTGCTAGTTTGTATCTATTCCAGTTCCACATAAATTTTAGAGTTGTTTTCTCCAGGTTAGCCAAGCATACTGCTGGTAATTCTATTAAGATTGCATTAAATCTTTATATCAACGTTGGAAATAAGGCCATTTAGACTATTTTGTTTTTGGCTATCCAGGAACAGGGCATAGCTTTTCTTTTTTGGATGCCTTCTTTGATTTTCTTTTCCAGAATATTTTGATTTCAATTGTAGAGATTTTTCTCCTCCTTAGTTAGGTCAATTCCTAAGTATTCAATTTTCTTGATGTTGTAGTAAATGCCACATTGCTGAATTTGCTTATCAATTCTAGGAGTCTTCTGGTGGATTTTTTTTGAGTATCTATGTAAACAATAATGTCATCTACAAATAATGTCAATTTGACTACTTTTTTCCTTATTTTTATGTCTCTTTAATTTCTTTTCCTAGCCTAATTTCGCTTGTCAATGTTTTGAATATTGTGTTGGAAACTCATTTGTTTTAGGGTTTGAAGAATTTTATTCCAAGCTTTGTGTTGAGAATTTGTAATTGTAATGGGTTTATCTCTACAAGCAATTCATTTGCTTTCTGTAACTGTTTTTAAGTTCGTGTTCTTTTGCATAAGATGATTTGTTGAGTGTTTTTTGTTTGTTTGTTTTTGTTTTTTATTTTTTGGTACTGTGGCTGCTTGGGGTTCTATATGCATCACATATCTACATGTTAAATTTCTTCTTCTTATTTTGATATTTTCTGCTATTACCTCAGTAAACAGGTTTTTTATGACATTTATACTGTCTTCCGACTTTCACTAATTCCAGTTAATCTTAAATTAGTCTTGTTTTTGTCATGTCGAAGTTGTCAGACCCATTTTCATGTCCTCTTGTTTTTTCTAAGGTGTATCTGATTAACTGATCACCAACAATAGGCAAGTCTTCTAGATCTGACACTCTGTGTCTGTGTTGGTCACTTCTGCTACCTATACTTTTGATAGAAGTTTTAATTACCCAAGTTTATAGTTGGAACCTTTTTATGGACTCTAATTTTTTTTCCATCCTAGTCATGCATGTTTTGCATGATGTTTTTAGTTGTTCTAGCTTTTTTTAAAGTGTCTTTTGTAGAGTTGGTGATCGGTTTGGTTATTTTGCCCATTGTTATTTCCTCTCTGAGTTTGCCAAGAGCCTTCTTGATCTATTTTGTCAACTCTTCTTTTATCCTGTCAAATTGTTTGGCTATGTGGCTTTTGGTTTCTTCCTCTTCAGTGCCCCACGGGCAAGTTTTAAATGAGGTGTAGTGTTTACATTTTAAAACATTGCTTTATACAATGTCATCTTGGAATATTTTGAATTTGTTGCAAACTATGTTCCTTACCTTTTGAGCAGGAGACCAAAGCTGAAATAATTGCTAGAGAGAATAAGAAGAGATTATGTACCAAGGAAGAACAAAAAGAAGAGCAAAAATGGAATGCTCTGTCATCTTCTATCGAAGAAGAAATGACACAGAATTTAAGCTCTGGATTAAAGAACCTGGAAGACTTTTTGAAGTCATGTAAAAGTAACTCAGTGAAAGTTCGGGTAGAAATGGTCGCATTAACTGCCTGTTTGAAAGCATGGAAAGAACACTGTCAACATGAAGGTACATAATTATGATTTCTTATTTTTGTGAACTGGAGAACTATAGAAATGTTATGATGATCGTAGCCATTCGTTAGCTGAAAATTTATGTTAGAAGTCTTATGTGCAGTTTCCAATTTTAGTAAGTATTATCACCACTTTATCAATGAACAGTTATATCTTAGGATTTTAGTAGTAAATACAGAGCAAAACCATAGACACAGAGGTTTTAAAACAGCTATATATCAAGTACTGGCATGATTAAGGGAACCAAAAAAATAATGAAGCACCCAGGGAGAATCTAGCACTCTCTTGTATTCCAAAGCATAAACATTTTTTGGGGGAGGGGAAATTGATATTTGTGATCGTCTGCTGTACTGAGTTCTTTCAAAGTTGCTGTGAGTTTCTTGTGCTCTACTATATATAATTTCTACAAAGATAAACACAAAAAAGAAAGAGAAAGACAGTGTGAAATATGAAGCAGTAGATGAACATCTACAAATTAATAGCTGGTGAAATAACTGTGTTTGATAGTACTTCCAACTGAGGTGTTTTTTGTTTTTTTTTTTTACTAAATCTGGTTGATGTGTCAGTTTTGAGAGCTCCACACTTGAATCTTTTTAACACATGACTCCCAAGTTCTCCCTGCCACCCAATCTGCCTTGAGATTTTATTCCTTTTACTTCCAGTGCGTGTTCTAGCAGAGTGCGTGTTTCACTGTATTTTATCCTAATGAGAGGTGTAAGACGTAGCAGCATTAGGGGCTGGGGATTTAGCTCAGCGGCATAAGCACCTGCCTTGCAAGCAGGCAGTCCTGAGTTGGATCCCTGGCATCCATAAAAAGTTAAAAAAAAAAAAAAAAGAGCAAAGACTTAGCAGCATGTGTGGTTCTCGCCAATCAAGATGATAAATTAGATTTGCAATTGGGGGCTACTAAGAGAAATCAGTAGTGGCTTAAAGAATATAGTAGTTTACTCATTTAAGTAGGGCATGTGTGGCCCACCTAACCTGCTGGGGCAGATGGACAGTGTCACCAGTGACTCAGTCTCCTCTGTCTTGGCTCCATTATCCTTGGCATGTGTTCCATTCTTCAGACTGCTTCATATTCCTTGGTGGCTGTATTGTAGCAAATAGGAGAAAAGGACAAGGCAAATTTTTCTTCACATCTGTTAGAGTCTCATCTCTGTATTTTAAGGAGTTTTCTTACTATCAGCAACTTCCTTTTAGGTATCATGAACCAGAACTTGGTAACAAGGCCACGTCTAATCACAAGGACTTTTGGTGAAGGTAGATTTTACCTGGTTACACTGAAGTTCTTTTACCTGGTTACACTGAAGAAGGAATCATAAAGATTAATAAATGAATAGGGAACGATGTAATAGTTTTACCCTCAGGGTTCTATGTCATTGTCTAAATTCTATCTATTCTCCAAATCCATTTCATGAAATATCTTTCCATAAAGCCTTGCTTTGATAGGACTCACTTAACACCTACAGTTTCTACTGCATATTGTGGAACAGTCAGGTTATTATATCTTGTCTTTTTAACTGGATGGAAAGCTCCTGGAGGATAAGAACTTTGTATTAAGTTTCTTGGGTAGCTTCCTATAGTCTTCATTAGATATTTGGAATAGTTATTGAATAGATACAAATAGGTTAATTGGAGAAAAGGTGGACTAATAGGAACCCTGACATAGTAAGTATCAAATGATTAGCAGAAAGGACAAGTATACAAGATCTATATATATGACTCTAAAGGACTGGAGAAGGATTATGCAAATCTACATCTGGAAGTTGAAATAGATGGATTGATTTGAAGGTCTCCAATGATTATACTAAGTGCATATTTGTGGTTAAAATTAGAGTTCAAGAAATATTGCTAAATTTTAAGTTTTACATTTAAAGATATATAAACATTTTCCTTTGAAAATAATAGAAGATAAATTAAAACTGAAATGCTGTTATTCTCCATGAACTTCTAAAATCTGCAGCTGTAACAACCTCATTTCTATCATGAATTTCAAGATTTTTCTTTATTCTAAATTTAGCAGAGCTATTCACAAAAATTCATAGGGATGAAGCACAGATAATGAAAGTTTAATTTTATTCAGTTCTCTACATCAAAATTTCCATTAATACCAAATAAGATTTGAGTTTAATTAAGATTAATAGGCCAGATGATTCATCTTGGATATTGAAAATCTACTATTTGATGGCTTTTTATAACCATTTTACCGTTTATTTTTTACAAAGGTAAAGCCACAGAAGATTTAAATATAGCTGTCCAGATGATGAAAAGAATTCACTCCTTGATGAATAAATACTCAGAACTTTTGCAAGATGTAGACCGGCACCTCATAGGCAGATGCCTTAAGTATTTAGGATTTGATGAGTTGGCGAGGTCATTATATACAGATCAGGTAATATTTGGATAGTATAAGTATTCGGTATACACAAGTTTCTTGAAAATGCATAATCTCCTTTAGATTATTTTTTACTTAAAATATTATAATGATTACTTATCCAAATACTCAATCTTGACGTAATATAGAATTAGAAATGTTGTATAAATGCTTTGCTGTACAAACAGAATGAACATCGGATGATTTGTGTAGACTGTGGAACTAATTGAATAATTAATTGTGACAAAACATCCAAAAACTATAATGTGATTATTCCATTTTTAAAAATATATCACATAACTGTAAGAACCATAATAGATATTTAAAAGTCTTGAGTCTATTAATACATTTGTAGTGACGAGGATAATTTAAGTGGTAATGTTGATACAAAATTTAAAAGGTGATAAAATGATTTTATATAGGAGATAGAAATAAATATTTTAATCACTTAATTGATATTTATTTTCAAAATGGTCTTTGGGATGATATAGGATGTAGTGGATGACAAGAAGAATAAGAAGAGGTATTCAGTTGGCATTGGGCCAGCTCGGTTTCAACTACAACACATGGGCCACTATTTGATACGAGAGGAAAGGAAAGATCCAGATCCAAGGGTCCAGGGTTTTATTCCTGATACTTGGCAGGTAATGATGCAAACACAAGTGGAAAAAATCATATATATGTGCATAGACTTCTTAATGTTGTTATGTCATATAATTATGAGAAATGTCAAATGCCTTTTCTCACTTAAAAATGTAAGCTTTTGTTTAACATATGCCATTTAGTTGGAAGTAAGTGATCAATTTACTATATAGATTTGAAGATGGAAGACATTCATACTATCCAGCTGTATCATTTTGGAGCACTCTCCTAATTTGCTCCATGTCATTAGGATTTCATACATAAATACATAAACTAACACAGAGAAATTTGGGTGGTTTACACAATGGAGATAATTGTTTAGATATTTATACATTACAGCTAATAGTCTTCTATAAATGTATATAAAATGCCTATGGGTGGTTATAAAATTGGGAAGAAATGAATCCAATTTTGCATATATTGACTATATACAATTGATAATACATTGAGCATATTTACTTACAAAAATGCAATTTCATATATTCAGTCTAATAAATGGTTAGAACCAGAGTATATGTCAGCTTTTTATTACTGGTATGAAATACATGGTGTCCTAACTTTATAAAGGAGTTTATTTAGGTTATAGAGGGCTAGGTGCGATTAGACTCAGGCTTGTTATAACTACCTCATCTTGAGAACTAACCAGGAATCCCACAGGAACCACTCTCCCTGGGGTACTCCCATTGGCCTCCCACTCAGTGCCACTTAGTAAAGATTCCAAAACCTCTTAAAACTGTATCTCGGGGATCAAGCTGCCAACACAAGGACTCTTGAAGGATCCTAAAGCCATATACAAACTACGGGATATTCCTTCCATGACAATAGTGTGCTATTGTAAGAACTTCATGCTGCCTTTCTATAAGTTGGAAGACTAATTTTGTATTTCAGTGCAGGTAAATTTCTATGAGCCAGGTAAATGCTCTCCACTAATTGTATGTGCATTGTAACTCTCCTGATACTCACTTAACTGTCAGGTGTGATTGGGAGTGGACCTAGACTTAACAGGGTTGCAAGTTGCGATTAGAATATATTTTTCCATCCTGCGCACTTCATAGGCTTACAGTTCCTTTGATTAGTTATCATGTTGATGAATAAAAGCACATGCTGTGGAGATGAAGCTCTTACCTGACCTCCACACCAGGCACCTTGTATTGTGTATAGAAAGTAGAAGTTGGGTGAGACAATTAAGATTTTTGATGTTTTTCCTACCCAGCTATTTTTTCATCATTAAAATGTATTTGTTACTTCTTAGAGCATTATTTTTCAAAGCCATTCTGCCCTTACTAAATGACACTCAACTACAAAGAAATCTTCCCAGGAACAAGATGCTTGATTCAGATTTCCTTTTCATTTTGCAAAAGTAAAACTCAACTTTCAGGTACTCAAAAGCAAACAAATTGCATCCTCTGAGAGAATAACATGTTCTTCAGATATTTAAAAAATGTTTTCCTCTATGGAATTGCAACTTCCAAGCATTCCATTTGATACTCAGAAAATTATACTGAAAATGATTAATACATGTGATTTGCTAACACGCTGTTTACATTATTGAGACAAATTGTATTCTGAACTCTGCAGCGAGAACTCCTCGATGTGGTGGATAACTATGAATCAGCAGTGATTGTTGCCCCCACATCCTCAGGGAAAACCTATGCTTCCTACTACTGCATGGAGAAGGTGCTGAAAGAGAGTGATGAAGGGGTGGTTGTATATGTTGCACCAACCAAGGTATTGCTCAAGTTCATGCAATTTGCTCTTTTATTTCTAACCTCCTTTTAAAAACACTGCATGTGATCACGTGATAAACCTTGTTCACTTTATTTCTTAATCTGAAATTGTTTATTCCAGTTTCAGAGGCTAAAATAGCACCTTCCTTGGAACCATTTTTTTTTAAAATCTAGTCTTGTAATCGTGGCTTTGAGCTTGATATTTGAATCATCTAGCAGAACATACTTTTGGATCATTACTGTTGTTCCTTGATATTCCACCTTAGTATACTTTATTATCTGACTCATGATGGTCTGTTTCCTTGTCAATCAGGCCCTTGTTAATCAAGTGGCAGCAACTGTTCAAAATCGTTATACTAAAAATCTGCCAGATGGTGAAGTTCTGTGTGGTGTTTTTACAAGGGAATATCGTCACGATGCGCTCAACTGTCAGGTAGGATATGTTCTTTAATAAACTTACTATAACGTTTTGTGACAGTACTCATCTGTCTCTTTGATTAGAAGCCCAAAATTTTCATAAGTCTTTGTGAAAATGATTTCTTTAATATATGAATGACAAAAAGACTTCAGAGAAAAAGTAATTTTGCTACATTCTGAAGAGTAAGAAGTAGAACTTATTTTTTTCTAAGGATCTTTATATTTTGATTTCAGATTTCAACTATAGTTTATTACATTTTGATGTGTTTATTAATGAATTGAAAAGGTTTATAAGAATACTGTCATAAAAATTAATGGAAATTTCTTATCATAATTATGTTTTCTGCAAAGCACTTTTTAAAAAAGCTTTTTAGTTTTTAGTGCTGAGGGCTGAACCCAGGGCTTCTAGCTTGCTAGACAAGTGTTCTATTACTGACGTAAGTCCCCAATACCCTGCAAAGCTCTTTTGAAAGATACTATAAAACATGTATTAAAGATGTTAAACCTTTATTAACAAAATCGTAGATAGATTTTTTTCCTTATCAAACTTGCAGATCCATAATACAAAATAAACAAAATATGAATGCAGGTTCATGTGACACTAATGCAGTAGCCCTGGAGATGTGCTACTCAAATAGCTTTTTAAGGAAAGATTTGTTGCCCAGAAATGAGGAGTGTGGGGAGGGTAGATGCCAGGTGATCCTGGATCTTTCTATATTGTCCACCTTCTGTGACTGAGTTAAACATATGCACAAAAGTGGGTCATTCCAGCTTGGTGTAGAAAACCTGATAGACAATATTCATCTAGAATTCTGAGGTATATTGACTGAGGTTCTTTCTAGTCTGCAATGAGTCCAGGTTCCCTTGTTGATTCTTATTAAACCTAATCCAACCCAAACTATGGCAGGGTTAGATTTTAAAAACTCAAACCTGTGACACTGAACAGTTTCTGTTTTCTAATGCTGAGTGATTATTAAAGAGGATTATGGTGAAGATGAGTATGATTAAAGTATGTGATCTGCATGTGTGCAATGTCACTAAGCATTATTTTCAACACGTAATATATGCTACTATTTACAATAAAATAACTAAAACTTCAAATTTAATATTTCAGCACTTTTGAGCTGCAAAATTTGAAGTTTCATATGTTTCAGACTAATGCATCATGATTGTCATGAAATTGTCAGAAGTAACATTATAGCCTAATTTTCAGCAGACAAATCTAGGACCCATAACTCTAACGTATATAGTTTTGTAATAATGTTTGTACCTACTAAGTGCTCAATGTATTAACTAACACAATATTGTTATTTTTAGGTGCTTGTTACAGTGCCTGCCTGCTTTGAAATTCTGCTGCTAGCTCCACATCGCCAACAATGGGTGAAAAGGATTAGATATGTTATATTTGATGAGGCAGGTTTTGTTTTACTTCACTGGGTTAATTTTCTACTGTACATAAACACTATAATGAAGATCTTCAGTGCTGTAAGAATCTGTCTACTGGAATTTAGGTCAGGGCAAAGAGTGATTATTTTCTTCAGCCAAGTTTATCTTTTGCCCCACTTTCCCTGTGTGACTCTGTGGAGAAAGTTAGTGCACTTTTAAAACTCTGTGTGCAAGAAGGAACTTTCATTGGAGATAGCTATTTCAGGGTGGACAGAATTCAAATACCAAGATGTACGCTTCCCTGCATAAAAATTTTAAAAATCAAATCTTGGATTTTTTTTAAGCAGTAAATTTTGAATTGTACCAGTGCTATCAGCTACATATTATGGTATTGTCTTAACAGAAAACATATGACACACAGAAACTACAATTCAAGGAGGCTGGTTTACCAAAGTGTGTGTGAGGAAACCCCTAAGGGTCAACACAGTAACCCAGAGACAGTAACCTGCTCCACTGCTTGAAGGGATAAGAGGAGAAAGTATTTACTTAAGGACCTCACATTGAATTACAAAGACCTATCCCATAATTTTCTATTGTGAATTTGTACTTTAGCATAATAGTAGCTGGTTATGTTTTCCCCCAATTGTACATCTGGATGATAAAAGAAGCAGTCTTTGTGAGGACCGACCTTCAGGTGAATTCTACAGGTTCAGTAACAGGCAATAATAGTATTTATTGTTGTTTTAAAATTTTATTTATACAAGTATTTTATGCCGAGAGAACAATAATGTGCAAGCTCTTGAGTAGGAACGGTGTGGTCAATGAATAAAGATCAGTATGCCTAGATCATGGTAAGGATGGGGTAAATGGCTTGAGGTAAATCCAGATGCAGCAGTGATGAAATTACATCAGGCATCTTACTCTTGGCAGTGGTGTGAGGGATACAAGGTGACAAGAAAGGAAGCAAGGACAGTAGTCTTGAGAGACTTTTCGTAGTGCAATGAGATGTGATGGAGGCTTCACTGGCAGTGGATGTAGACAGAAATGAATAGATTTGAAAGAAAATTTTGAAAGTTAAACAAAGAAAAATATATTGTTAGGTTGGGTATGAGGATTTAAAGAAATCTAGGTTTCTACTTTTTCTATTGCCTGGACTTTCTACTACATATTTTTACTTGCCATCTAACTAATGCTGGTGGGAAATTATACGTAAGGATTTCATGTCTTATTTTCTGTTTTTAAGTCAACCTTTTCAGCTGAGAAAATTTCTTTCTTTAATAGGTCCATTGTCTTGGTGGAGAAATTGGAGCAGAAATCTGGGAGCATCTCCTTGTCATGATCCGATGCCCATTTTTGGCTCTGTCAGCTACAATTAGTAACCCTGAACATCTCACTGAGTAGGACTGCATTCTACTTTGGAGTGAATGCTTACCTGTCTTAAACATTTGAATTGCATATTTTCTATATGGGCTTTGAAGAGTTTCACAACTTTCTGGTTAGCTAATCGTTTATGTGTAGATGATCAAGGTAGGCTTTCTAGCACTTCCTGGCATGTGCTGGCTATCCTCTATAAGTACCAAGTACTCCCTACTGCAGCTAGATCTGCAATTTAATAGGAATTTCCCCCCCAGTATCTCCAAACAGATTAATAAGAAACAATGAATACATGTTTATTTTTTCTTTACCAGGAAACCAATAATAGAGAGATAATAATACATTCAGCCATCAACCCTAAGATGAGTCAGCTTACTTTGTAGAGATGTCTAGAAGATGTCAAAGCTTGATCAATTGCATGCCATTTTTGTCACTGAGTATGATTTCTGCACAATAATAATGATTATAACATCTAACCCTGTGATAAGTATCTTCTATGTGCCAGCTACTCTTCTAAGTATTTTGGATGTTGATTTTAAGTGCCAGCAAGCCTTACAGTTTAGTATTTTCCCATTACTGTTATTAGAAAACTACTACTTCTTCTAATGCTTCTCTATTACCACTGCCACCACCACCTCTACTACAATTTCCATTTTAAAAATATGGAAAACAAGGTACACAAAGACTAGGTATTGCAACCAACAGCCCTGCTTGCAGAATTTAGTCCGGGAGTGAATCTTTCTAATACATTTATAAACCATGAAATTTTCAATTGTCTTTCCTGACACTATTTAATTAATGGGAAACTTTTCCATTTCCTGCCTCAATAATATATAACTTTATATATATAAACCTTAAGGTGGCTGCAATCAATAAAACATTATTGGAGACAAGAGGACAAAATAATGGAAAAAAGGATGGCCTCCAAAAGAAGTGCTGGCTCTCATGCCAGTTTATCCAAAGACTACGTGCAAATAAAGCAATCGTATAAGGTTAGACTTGGTAAGTTAGATAGATCCTTAAAAATTTTATATTTGATACTAAAATTCTTCCATCATTACATTTCCATTAATTAGATAAGTTGTGTCCTTCAATTTCAGTGCTTTATGGAGAGAGGTACAATGATTTAGAGAAGTACATATGTTCCATCAAAGAGAATGACATTTGTTTTGATCACTTTCACCCATGTGCTGCACTAACCATAGATCACGTAAGTAATAACTTTGTCATGTTTGCTCTGAGCAATACAAGTTATTTATATATATTATAATTGAAAAACTGCTTACTTGATACTTGCCAGAAATAAAGGATAGATGCTTTACAACAGATTTTTCCACCTTGATTTTACAAATAACAGGGATGTTTTTTCTAGCTCCATTGATTCTTTAGTGGCATTTGGATCTACAGTGCTTAAAATATACTAAAACTTTAACCTGAGCTTTTAAAATTGCATTTATTCTGGATATTATTTTTGCCCGTGTTCTTTTTTGACAACACCCTTCTCTCAATACAGCTCAGACTTCATGCGAATAACTCCTAATACCTGTGAGAGTCTGATCATCATGATAAGGTTTAACAAGGAAAAGTACCTCTCACTATATAGAGATATAAATACCTATGTATATATTTATATCTCAATATATAGCAATCACAACATATTTTGGCAGTGAACCAATAAGGCAAAGACTTAAAAAGATTTCAGTTGGGGCAATATTAGGAGAAAATAGGGAAGGATTTCTTAAATTTTTCTTGAGTATTTCTCTTCTTCACTTATTCTATTTCTATGAATGATCAATTTAAGTTCCTATTGCTTGTCAAAGTGACAGCAGGTAAATACCTTGTCTTCCTACTTAAACTTATGAAGTCAAATGTATTCTACATTCTGGTACCATATTAAACCTCATTAATATAATTCAGGTCTTCCCCAATTATTAAAGGCTTTCCTTTGCAAGGACCAGTTCTGTAGCGAGTCAACTAAGGTCTTCTATGACCAGTGTCCCATCCATTCATCTATTGCATGAACCTTCCCTGGGAACCTCCTGCTGTCTCCTGTACCTCAGATATTTAAACCTGATGCCAAATGCCAGCTTTCCAGATGCTATTCATTTTGCATGATGTGACTCCATTTCACAGTCCTGTGACTTCCTCAGCTAGATGTACTTATAATCTTTTTTCAGTAGTTTTGTCTGTGTTTCTCATGTGACACCAATCAAAGTCAGCTTGCTTCTGAGGATGTTTACATGTATGTGTTCTTTATCTTTCAAGAGTAATGCTTTGAAAACACATTTTATGTATATTTCCTAGCAAATGGGCACGTATATAAGATGTGCTCACTAAATACACGTTAAATAAAGATAGTCAACTGCAATTGAGCATTTGCTACGTATTCTGGAAGTTTTGTGTATTTCACTTTTTTAAAGCATCGCAATTATAAATATCCTATTACTGTTTCCATTTAGGGTTGAGAAGCATAAAAACCTTAACTAACTCAGTGTTTCTGTGCTAAGTAAATGTTTGATTTTAAGTGCCAGCAAGCCTTACAGTTTAGTATTTTCCCATTACTGTTATTAGAAAACTACTACTTCTTCTAATGCTTCTCTATTACCACTGCCACCACCACCTCTACTACAATTTCCATTTTAAAAATATGGAAAACAAGGTACACAAAGACTAGGTATTGCAACCAACAGCCCTGCTTGCAGAATTTAGTCCGGGAGTGAATCTTTCTGATACATTTATAAACCATGAAAGCAATGTTAGACTCCCCACTCTGTTTTCTAGGATTTGTCCAACAAACATATGAATGAATGTGAGTCAGTTTATAATCTTTGATACAGCAGGTTTTTTTTTTTTTTTTGGTACCAGGGGTCAAACTCACGACCCCTTGCTTGCTCCCTTAGGGAGGGGTTATCATCTTAGTCCATTCAGTAGGCTCCTATAACAACGGTATCATAGAGTGGGGAGTGGGTGCCTCTAAAAATCAATGTCTATTTTTCACAGTACTGGAATCTGGCAAGTTTAAGATTAAGCTTCTGGCAGATAGGGGATCTGGTGAGAAATCACCCTCTCGTTCATCAGTGGCTCCTTCTTGCTGTATTTTCACATGGTAGAAAGGACAAGGTGGCTCTCTGGGGCTTCTTTAATAAAAAATTATAACTTGTAATAGTTCTTCTCAAATGACCTATTGCCTCCAAAAGCTATCAGCTCCCAAAATCGTCACACTGGGAACCATGTTCTAATGTGTGAGTTTGGAGGGATCACAGTCATTCAGGCTGAAGCAAATATTAATCAGCACTTAGTGACCAGGTTTTCACTGGCAATTTGTAGCAGTAATGGTTGATACCGAAAGAAATGTTCAATACAACTTTTGTAGAACAGGAAATTCTTATATCCACTAAAGTTTTTCTGAAATGAAAAAAAGAATGGCAGACATATTCCAAAGATTTAAAACAGATTTAAATCAGGAGGATAAACAGGGTATTTATTGTAGTGTCTTCAAGGTTGACTGTGAGACTTTGTCTTGAGGTTGACCTGGTTCCTATCTTGGAATCTAAGCAAAGATTTGTCCTTTTTGCCTTGCTTGATATACATAAAAGTAAAGAAATCATATTCATAATTAAGACAATTTTAGATTCAGTTTCAGAGCAAAAGTACGGTGTTCTTGTTTATAGCATCCACAAATCTTTCCATTTTCCCTCACTCTAATTTGAGCCATAAATACAGTCCACAGAAGATTAACCTAATTAAAAGCTCTTAGGAAATAAACCAAAGCCTTTTGATGAGTTTTTTGATCTTTTATAATTTTGTAATTCAAATACACTCATGGGTGGTATTTTATTTTATTTTATTTTTAAAAAATAAAGGAGATTAAGATAAAAGAGGACATAACAACACAGGTCAGAACAGAACAATTTAAGCAACATAGTGTTTCACCACAAGATAACCTGACATAACAGTAGTTACCATAGTGTCTCTTTCCTTGAAATATTTGAGTATACTTTCGTATACTATAGCATCAAACATAACAAGACAGTGTAGAACCATTCAAGAGGATGAAAGTATTACAGGGTATTTAGAACCAACTAACAGAAAATGAATAATGGTTTCTATATTATCTCCTTGTCTATAAAAAATTTTATTTATACTATCACATATAACAAAATCCAATAAAATACAACATGATAAACTCGATGGAGACAGAAGGACAAAAGCTTGATGGGACTTCAAAACAAGCTGTATTAAATCAGCACTAGCTATTATAATGTCTTGTTTTTTTCAAAATAACTGTTCATACCATCACAGACAATAAAATCAAATACCCCAGAATAAAACCATTCCAATTAATGAATGAAACCATTATAAGGCTTCAAAGCAATATAATGGAGAATCATGATTACCACACATACTTTTATGTATTCTCACCATTTCTTTTCTTTTCTTTCTTTTTCTTTTTTTTTTTTTTTTTTGTATTTTTACCGGTACTAGGGATCAAACTCACGATCACAGGCTTGCAAGGCAGGCGCTTATGCCACTGAGCTAAATCCCCAGCCCCTACCATTTCTTACACTAGGAAAACTATTTGGTATTTATACATGTGAGTTTGATTTATTTTGCTTATGAGTATGATCTCAAGCTGCACCCATTTATTTATAAATATCTCAATGTGATCATTCTTTATAGCTGATAGTACTCCATTGTATAAAAATACCACAACTTTTTATCCATTCCTCAGCTGATGGATATTTAGGTTGTTTCCAAGATTTGGTTATTACAAATTGTGCTGCTATAAACATAGGTGCACATATATCACTGTGGTATGATGCTTTCAGTTCTTCTGGGAATATGCCTAGAAGTGGAATAGCTGGAACAAATGGGTCCTCCAATCCCAGCTTTCTGAGAAATCTCCAAACCGACCTCCACAATGGTTGCACCAGTCTACTCCCACCAACAGTGCAGGAGAGTTCCTTTTCCCCCACAGCCTCTCCAGCATTTGTTGTTGTTGGTTTTCTTGATCCTGGCCATTCTTTCAGGAGTGAGATGGAATCTCAGTGTTTTTAATTTGCATTTCTCTAATGAGTAATGATGATGAACATTTTTTCATGTATTTATTTGTCATTTGTGTTTCTTCTTTGTGTATTCATCTCAGATGCCCATTTTTGGATTGGATCCTTGAATTTTGGGGGTCTGATTTTTTTAATGGATAGTATTTTATTCACATATAAAAGCATTACTACTAACATTTAAACCTTTCAGCTTAATGCTGTTCATTGACTTTGGATTTCTGTTTGTGCCTTTGAGTAAAAAAAGTGCATTGGAAAAAGAATCATAAAACATTTAATTTATTTTAAACATAGATTGAAAGGTATGGATTCCCTTCTGATCTTGCACTTTCACCTCGAGAAAGCATCCAGCTTTATGATGCCATGTTTCAAGCCTGGGAAAGTTGGCCACAGGCCCAGGTAAATAACATTTATGAAATTAATGCTATTATAGGGTATAGTAGCAATGCTATTCTGAGCTTTCATCCTTTCTAATCACTTGTATTTGACCTTTTAAAGCCATAAGTCGACACTTCAGAAATAAGACAGCCCTCCTACATTCTTCTTAAGAGGTTTTAAGTGGCATTTACTTAATTGTGAAAATGTTTCTTAACTTCAGAGATACTGTGGTGTTTTGGTCTCCTCTTACACCTTGTTTTCTAGGTCTCCTTTTCCTGTCCTTTGTCTCTGTCCTTACTGTCTTCTCTTTCATCTCTGACTCAGTGGGTCTCTAGCCTTTCTTTTGCTCATATGTATTAGAAGCTATGGAGAATAATGAGTTCCTCAGTTTCTGTCCTCAAGAGCTTGAACAGTTATTTATGAGACACATAATTGAGAATGATGTTTCAATTTTTAGACATAATTTTATGTATCTTTGTGGTATTTTTTCCAGAAATTATGTCCAGAGAACTTCATTCATTTCAAGGACAAATTAATCATTACAAAGATGGATGCTAGAAAATATGAAGAGAGCTTAAAGGCAGAATTAAAAAGTTGGGTTAAAAATGGCAATATAGAGCAGGTAATTTTCACATGGCCTGGCAATGCTCCCTATTGTCTTTATTGTCTTCTTGAGTTGTATCAGTTAACACTCTTTTTTTCCCCACTGTCAGTTTTCATTTTAGTGTTTCAAATGTATGTGAAGTTTAGTGATTCTGAGATAGAACAAGAAGAGGGAAATTTTGGTTTTTCTTTAATACCCAGTGACTCCTAAAACATGAATGAGAGGCAGCTGGTTCTTCACAGGTGTTACAAGAGCAAGGGGCTGAGGGTCTTATCTGAGCTCACAGTAGCTGAGAATTTCTACTCTTTTTAGATTTTTAAGTCAGGTCTGATCTTCTAATTGTAGTTTTATTCTTTTCATAAATTGAGATTGCTGAGTTTTTAATAATGATATGTATTATTTTTCTCATGTGATTTTTCCATTGTGTTTTAATCTTCCCCAATTCATAAATATAAAGTAATTAATGCCTTAGCAGCTTTCTCTCTTGTGGAAACCAAATGCCAGACACCTGCAACTTAAAGAAGGGACTTGTTTTGGTTTCTAGTTCTAGAGGTCTTGATCTGTACATGGTCAGCTGGTTCTAAGGACAAATGTGGTGGAGCTGCACACCTCATGGCTGTCAGAAAATAGAGACGAGTCAGGGGAGGAGATACTGTATGCCCTCCCAGGTTCACTGCTTGTGACCTGCCTCTTCTAACCAGATTCAGCTTCCTAACAGTGATCTAGTCACCCCCAGAATCCTCACCTCTGAGCAAAAAGATATTTGGGGAGCTCTAGATCTAGATCATAACAATTTTTGTAGTTATCATGTAACAGCCTTTAAAAATGTACTTGGGAGTAACTTTCCCATGTGACTTGAAACACTGACTTCCTGCTTCTGTCCTATCAGTTGCTGAACAATTCTTCCCTTAGGTTGATTCAAGTTATCTTAAAAACTGCATGTTAAACTGTATACATTTGTTTTCTGGTTTAATTATTTGTATATTTGTTTAGCCACTTTTAGCATATATATATATATATATATATATATATTCATAGTACTATTTTTTACTTAAATGTTTTTTCTTAGTACTATTTTAAAGAACACAGAAACTGATTAGACAGCTATGAGAATATTTCAGAAAGAGTAGCAATCTCTTTCTTTGCTATGCAAGGCATATTATAATTATTTTTTTTTAATTTACTGTTGCAGGCTAAAATGGTACTAAAGTCTCTTAGCCCTAATTCAGCTTATAGTTCAGGAAATATGTTGATGAAATTTCCACTTCTTATTGAAAAACTAAGGGAAATGGAAAAGTTACCTGCTCTAATTTTTATGTAAGTTATACAGTTTGTTTTTTATTGTAATTTACATAAGACTTTTTAAAAGGTGGATAAAAGCATTCAAACTTTAGTGTTGTTATATAATATTCATTAATATTTGAGGGATTAATTTGTTATTCAAATGTATGTCTTGTTTAAAAAATATACCTTTCTCGCTCAATTGTTTTAAAATTTATTTAGTTTTGGTGTTGTAGATTGTCTTCTTTATTTTGTGAGTCCATTTTTTGCTTTCTTTTTACTGCAAACTCATGACTTTGTTATCACTAATTGGTCTTAATTTTAGTATGTACTTAGATTCTTTGTGAATTAAATTGAATGTATATGTGCATAAATATCCTACATAAAGTGTCTTGTGATATGATAGAAGATTTATTGGCAGAAAATTTTAGGGTTTTTACTTTATAATGATGAAAACTTGACCTGCAGGTACAGAAATCTTACTGAACTTTGTGTTAGAGCATACAGTTACTTAAAATTTAAAAATAGTAGTTCAATTACTACAGTTTTGGTAAAGTGACAACAAAATATAATTTATTCAATAGATAAAATGCTATATGCTGGATCAACCTTGACAATATATATAGTTTGGGATCAGAAGGAAATGCTCTTATTTATTTTAGATAATTTCAAATTTTCCGTAAGTCACAAATCTTCACATAAAACCAAAGAGTCTTGCTCTCATTGTAAAGATTAATGATATATGTTCACATGTAAAGAGCCATAGTAATGAATTCTCATGGGTAATATATATTTAAAAGAATTATGAGAGGTGAATGAAACATATATTTTGAAACTTGGGGATGGTTGTACTATTGTTCCTTTTATCTTTATTATTGAAAAAAGGAAAATACACTTCTGGGCTATGAAGCATTCATGTAGCTCATCCATTTCACTTTCAGAAATGCCTAAGGTGATAGAGTAAGAGCCATTCTCAAACTGTGGGATATTTCAAAAACTCTAACTACAAAAAATAAACCCCAAATTAACTATTCCCAACTTGCATATTCAAAGGCAAAATTTTACATGTGCCATAAGCATCATTACCATTTTCTCAATTCCTACTTCGACAGTGTGTAGATTTATTTACTTTTTGCTAGCTAACTGCATTTCGTTTTACTATCAGCTTTGCAAAGGCATTTTTAGAGAAGGTCTCTGCCTCACAATTTTAATTTGAAAACTTTATTATATAGACATAAGCTATTATTTACTGGGTGTGCTATAGCTAATGATTAATGCCTATTAACTTCCAGCCACAGCATTTTGTCAACAAGCTATAGTGACAATAAATAAATAATAAAAAATTTTTCATCAAGTTTTTCAGTGATTTTTTTTAAAAAGCCATAGTTCCTGATACTGGGAAGTGGATGTGAAATAAATATAAGGGATTCTTACTTTATTTTATTTGTCACAGATAGTAGAACTTGATTTGTAGCTTTGTTTTAATTAAATGTTCAGATCTAAAAAGTCCTAATAGTTATAACCTGGACTAGGTCCTTATGTTAAATATTAAGGTACCAAGAAACCTGGACCACTATATTCCTAATACATATTTTTAAAGGTATAAAGTCCAGATCTTAGAGATATTTCTGATTGTACACAACATCTGGGGTTTACCTGGTTTCTGGAAAGACATAGTCATATCAGAAGAGATTAAGGTTGAAAATCTGTTATTCTTTTCATTCTGTTAAGAGAAAAATATTTTTCGTTTATTAAAAATGTTTTCTCTCTGTCTTCAGGAAGGGTTAGCTAAGAGAGGGACAGCTGTTTCTTCTGTATATAGATGGAGAAAATCCACTACTCTTTTCTGTGGAATGAGTATCTGCCTGCTCTTATAGAAATAACTCACATGAGCTCTTATTGCAATGTCTGAGGGTAATGGCTAGCATGAGGGGAACTTACTCTTTACTATTCGGTAGTAAATAAGGTGTTTATGGAACAAGAACACCTACTGTGCATTTCAAAGTAAACTTCATAAAGGTGGGAGTTAAGAAACACAAGTGCCCGAAGTGTAGCCATATATAGAAATATAAATTGAGTTTTATTTATGATATTCTTTTCAAGGCAAGCATTCTTTTCGTTTGTTCTCAGGTTCAATATAACACATGTAGAATATTTTGCTGGGAGTGTATACAGGTTTTTGAAGGTAAAGCAGAAGGAAAAACAGTCTCCTAAAGCTCATAAAGAAGTTCACGACAAGATTTGCAGACTTCAAAAACTAGAGAAATCCATTGAGAAACAGAAGACATTGTGAGTATTTCACTAAATAAGCCAACAAAGAGTTAGTATGCCTCACTGCCCCAGTAGTAAACAAACATTGAACATGTCCCACAAAAAAGTTCTACTTTTTATTTGAAGCTATTCGCAAATTTGGAAGGGAAAATTGTATTAGTGAGCTTTCCTGTTGCTCGAAGATAAATCTGTTACCTATAGCTTAAAGGAGGAGATGTTTCATTTGGCTATGGTTTCAGGGGGTTCACTCTATGGTCAGCTGGTTCTAAAGCATGAACATCATGGTTAAAACATGTGGTGGATTAAACAAATGGTGTGTTACAACAGCAGAATCAGTCATGACAGCACAGATATGTATAGTAGTCAAAGTCTGCTTGATAAAGAGTTAGAGTCCTGGGATTCCTATGTGGTGGGATGAATAGCTTTGTTTCCTAAACTGTTATTTTCCCAAACAGAGAGGAAAAAAGCCAGAAAAAACCAAGAATATTGGACCAAAATTTCATACTAGAAGCTGAGTATAATTGTCTATTGAAAAGTCTAAACAAGAGCCTGGAAATTCCTCAGGATTGCACATACACTGATCAAAAAGTGATGGATGCTGAGGTCAGTGACAAGAAGGGCAGAGTTCTCTGGGATAATACGTCATGTATCAGTCAGAGCTTCTTTATTATAGACAGTGATTAATGGAAAGACTAGGTGTAATCCTTAGAAGAAGAGAAATCCCATGTAGGATTCCATGTGGGACCTTCTGGCCGTACATAATCTTTGAGGGCTCTTCAACATATATTTAAAAAAAGAGTGTTTGCCTTTGAGACTGTCTGTCCTTTCCATTGTATATTTTTCTCATCCTGAATTGTAGACTTCAGTATCCCATATCTCACTTCAAAATTTGGGTACATGTAGTATTTAAGAAATATTTGCATGAGTTCTCAAAATCACAGATTTTTCTGTGTGACAGATACGACCACCAATAAGATGTCGGAATTTCTAAACAGCTTTTGCCATTCATCTTTGAAACTATTTTGTTCTGTAAATAATTTGTGCTTATGGTAGAGAAATTTGAAAATCCCAACACCAAAAGCGATGTTATCCCTCAGAAATAACTCTTTTAGAAATGAAACTTGTATTAACTTTGCCTGCTTCTGCAAACACAAGCACATTCTGTTTCGTGTCTTTGTTAAACTTCATGGTCTCTTCCTTTTTCATAGCCATGTATTTTCACCACCATTTGAATGGAACCTTGCAAGTTCCTTGATTGGGTAGTTAAAAAAACCAGCAACCAACTTTTGCTTTTGGATATTTAACCGTTTTTTTCTTACCTCCCACAGTGTTTACTTTTTCTTACTCCATAGAAAAGGGCATTTTAAGGACATCCAATGTGCAGCGGGAAGTAAGCTTTGCATGACCCTATAGAGCAGGGAAGAAGTCTTTCTCACAGAAGTCTACGTCTGGGGAAACCTGCTAAGATTTCTGTACTGACCCGATTTCCTCCAGACAAGCAAGAGTCCTAAATGCATGCTTTCTTGGGTATTTTGCCTATTTCTCTGTCAGAATGTTTCAATCCAGAAGTGAGAGTGAGATCCTTTGTCATAGTTTGTCTAAAGATTTGAGAAAATGGGTCTTGTAGTTGCTGTTGTTGTCCTCCAAAAACGTGTCACATAAAGTTGATAAAAATTTTAGTCATATAAATCTGATTTCTCACAGCTGCCTCACTTAAAGTATTTTTAAATTTTGTTTTATCAGTTAATTTTATCAGTACAATTTAGATATAAATAATGATCACATGCATCATAGGGAATTTGTACTTATTGCATAGGAATTTTCACCCAAAAGTTTTTAATAATTTAAAGTTAGACAAGAAATTAACAAAATCCAAAAATGTCTTGCTTTGTTCAGTTATTGAAGACAGTGTTTGATCGTGTAAAATTTGAAAGAAAAGGTGCAGAACTGAGATGTTTGGCAAGAAGGGGTATTGGATATCACCACAGTTCCATGACTGCCAAAGAAAAACAGCTAGTTGAAATTCTTTTTCGAAAAGGATTCATCAGGGTAAATACTTTCTCATTCTTGAAAAAAATAAAATTGAATATTTTTGAAAAGTAAAAATATAATCATCTTTTTCTCACGTAAATATGTCTTTTGTCTCTTTTTTGTTACAACCTGTAATGTGACTGTATTTCTCCATCTTATTTAATTGAGGGAAGATGTTTAAAATTTATTATTTAGTTTGTCTATTTTCCTGAAAATAAAATAATATTTTCTTAACAGATGGTTTTCCAAATATTTCTCTTATGAAATATACCATGCTGATCCTTGGTTTTGTTTATAATATTTGAAAAGTTTGCCTGCCATTTACATGATTTAGGCTTATGGATTTGGAGGACATTTGTAGTTGCATTGTGATCAGATCTTTTTCTAATAAATACACGTAATAAAGGCAAGAATAGTGTTTTCTGAGACTCTGCTGCTTACTTTAGCAGAGATTTTTAGATGTGTTACTTTTTCTCATATGTGTGGCACAAGGAATTAAACCCAAGGGCTTTGTACTGAGCTACATTCCCAGTCTTTTGAAATTTTGAGACAGGTTCTCACTAAGTTATAAGTTGCCCTGACTGCTTCCACTTGCCATCTTCCCGCCTCAGCTTCCTACAGTGCTGAGATTATAGGTGTGTACCACAAAATTCAATTTAGAGGTGTAACTTCTAAATATTCTCTTTTCTGGGGCTGACAGTGGAAACAGGGCAAGTGAACTGATATAACTTTCAAACCAAACCTGTGTTATATTTTGTGTCATATGTATCATGTGAGAATATGAGGGTGGACTGGAGTAATTTATAAAGAGGTTTGGTGAATTCACTAGTGAATTTGAATCTCAAGTGATAGTTACGAGTAGACCTTGACTTTTACAAGTTATCAGTAATAGATTTTATATGACATATACTGCATTCAAGAGAGGGGGGGAGAGAGAGAGAGAGACAGAGACAGAGACAGAGACAGAGACACAGAGAGAGACAGAGAGACAGAGACAGAGAGAGAAGGAGAGACAGAGACAGAGAAAGAGACACACACACAGAGACAGAGAAAGAGAGACAGAGAGACAGACACACACAGAGACAGAGAAAGAGAGACAGAGAGACAGACACACACAGAGACAGAGAAAGAGAGACAGAGAGACAGAGAGACACACACAGAGACAGAGAAAGAGAGACAGTGACAGAGACAGAGAGATAAAGATTTACAGGAATCCTTTTAGGTTAGGTAGCATAATCTTTAGTCATAATAAACTACATGCTGCAGAATGCCTGATAGCATAATTAAAGTGGAATTTGTTGGGCTGGGGATTTAGCTCAGTGGCATAAGCACCTGCCTGGCAGGTGTGAAGTTATGAGCTCAATCCCTGGTACCACAAACAAAACAAAACAAAAACAAAACAAACAAAAAACAACAACAACAACAACAACAACAAAAAACACTTCAATGAAAGTGTCATTTGTTATCTGGAAAAGCAAAATATATTTTTTAACAAGCTGGATTTTTAAAACTAATTCAATATTACTTAAAAAAATAACTGCCAAAGTATTATGAATTGAAGTAGGCATGCCTATTTTGATCAGCATATCCTACTTCTAAAATGGTATCTACTTATTTGTAGTTGTTCAATTACTGAGAGTTTAGTGAACAATTAAGTAGATCACTCTAGAGTAAGTATGGAATTAGTTCTTTGTTTTAAAGAACCCATAAGATTTTATTTTCTAAATTAAACTTCTTTTCTTTTTCACGTTTGATTTTGTTAAAGAACTTTAGAAAAATATTTAAAAATTGTATGTTGCATTTTAATAAATGCCTAACCTCAGTTCCTAAGTTATTAAACAATTACTCCATAATACTTAAATATTAACACTAAATAGAGCATAGATGCCAGTCATTATAAAAAGAAAGAAAAATTAAAAATTCCTAACAGATAAAAAAGAGCAAGAAATTGGGTTATGTAGGTGAACTTTAGAGTTTTCCCTGTCCTTTCTATGGTCAATTATTGTGGGAATTTGTGGTGGGGGATCTTATTTTTTCTTATAACCGAGATATGTTATTGATGTAAATATCTTAATTAATTTTAGCAGAGGAAATATGTAATTGACTATAATAGATTTATTTATTCATTTATTTATTGTCTTTTTGAGACAGGTTCTCATTATGAAGTGCAGGCTGGCCTTGAGGTCACGTTGTAGCCCAGGGTGGGTTTGAACTCACAATAATCCTCCTGCCTTGACCTCCCGAGTGCTGGGATTACCACCACATCCGAATCAACCGTAATAGGTTTATAAAAGACATTAGTTTTTTAGATGAAATTTTCTAGTCATTTATTTATAAATACTGACACCTGGAGTGTGCCAGGTACCCTTTTTGGTGGTAGGGATACAGTGGTAGATGATGCTTGGAGTCTGATATCAGACGCATAAACAAACAAATAGGATTATTAAGGTAGTTTTTAGTCCTGAAAAATGAATAATGTAGAACAGAGAAGTAGATAACGATGATGGAGGGCGATGACTGTGTGGCTGTTTAGAAGTTTCTCCAAGGCATTTGAGCAAGCAATGGACGGAGTCACACGAATGAGTATTAGGGAGTACATTCCCTCTCATGACTTGCACTGTAACAGTCCTGATTGGAAAAAGTGCAAGGTATGTTTGTGAAATAGAAAAAAAGCCAGTGGGTCTAATATTGATAAATTTATACTGTGATTCAATTAAAGTTCAAAGAGGTTTCAGTAACTTTGTGGAAGGAAGCAATTGCGTCTGTTAAAAGACTTACATGAAGTATCTTTTTATTCTCTTGGTAGGTGGTGACAGCTACCGGAACACTTGCTTTAGGAATCAACATGCCTTGTAAATCTGTGGTTTTTGCTCAAAACTCAGTCTATCTGGATGCTTTAAATTACAGACAGGTATGGCAATATGCATATGCTTGTTTAATCTGCTTGCTAAAATGTCATAAAACAGTAAAAACAATGCAAAACATGCTTCACTGCATGGCATACTTGGTATTCATCCCTGCCTGAGTGTCATTTTTAATTTGGTGTAGTGGGAAGTAAAGTAGTTTCAGATTATTTCAGACTACTGCTGATTAGGTGTGTGACCTTTCATGAGATATCTAAACTCCTGATTTTCCTGATTGGTCTCCAGAATGGGTGGCAATTATAATCTCTTGGCATTTATAAGAATCAAATGAAGTGATTTATAAGAGATAGGTATCAGAAATGCTAAACAATTACTTGTTCCTTTACTTTGCATGCAATTTTGCACACTGGGTTTAATGCTTTTTCCTAATTTGTTAAGACATATAATCTATTATTAAATCTACTTCATTACTCCCATTAGGGATGCTGGACTTTTGCCTTAAGTCTCTGCGTCTACTGTCTTTCATCATACAGCATTGGCCAATTGGAATGACTTCTTAATTTTAGATTCTTCTTATTATATTTCCTGAAGGCAGCATAGTACAGTGATAGCAAACCTCTTAGAGATGGAGTGATCAACTGCAACCCAAAACCCACTTATCTGTTGCAAAGTGTCAATACTGCAGTTAAACATGAATACTGAGGTGTCAGTGTAGAAAAAATAAACCTCACACATTAACATCTTTTGTTCTGAAAGAAAAATACAATGTGTGTGACATAGGTTTGCCACCATTGGCCTAGTCTATGTGTAGTTTTTCTGATCATGAACATTTGGTTAATATTTCTGTTAGCAGGATCAAATTTAGATGGAAGGCACCCAACATTTACATTTTTATCAAAGGCTTCCCTCTTTCCTTCTTGAAACACTTCTTAATCTCTTGTAAACATTCTAATGCTTTTCTGTTGACTTACTGGCCCCTGTCTCTTTTATTTCTATTCCTGCTGTTATATTCTACATGAACTTTCTTGGAATCTTATCTCTGGGAATGGATTTGTTATCCAGGGTATCAGGATATTTGAGATGACAGATTTGAGAATTAAGTTGCCAAAGTTTTAGTCCCAAATCTTCCATTTTCCAGTTGTTTCTCTATGGATAAGCTTCTTATACAGTGTTCTCCATGTGCCATTTTCCACATTATGGGCACAGTAATTTTATAGAACTCATATTTTGTTGGGAGGTCTATATGATAAAAAAGTAAAGAGGACCTAGCATTTTCCATGAACTTAATGAGAATCAGTATAACCAACTCTAAAAAAATTTATTCTTGTTTTATAAGTGGCATTTCTGACTTTCATCTTTCTCACTTTCTTTGATTTGTGCATGGTATTTTTTTTGTAATTCATAGCTCAAAACGTTTATATGTGAGAAAGAACAGAAGAGAAAGGTGTCAGAGAGAAAGGACCCGGGAAGGGGGGAAAATTGGTAAAACAGAGCTCTTTAGTGAAGCTAAAATCTGGTTTTAATCTTTTGATCAGATGTTCTTTGTTCCACATATCATTCTACAAATACCTGGTAAAATTAGTGATATGAAATTAGTACATAAGAATGAAAATGTCTCATCTTCCAACACTGACTCAGTCATGGTAAATTTCCTAAGGCCTACATGAATGGATATTCATTTTGGTTAAGTAACCTTTGGACCTATGCACAATTTGCTTGCTTGAAAATGATAGACAAAGCTCAGATCTTTTACTATGATAGAAAAAGTACTCAGAGGAATTTCACATTGTGAGTCTGTTGTGTTTCCAGATGTCTGGTCGTGCTGGAAGACGGGGACAAGACCTGCTAGGAGATGTATATTTCTTTGATATTCCACTACCCAAAGTAGAAAAACTCGTAAAATCCAAAGTTCCTGAGCTCAGAGGACAATTTCCTCTAAAGATAACACTGATCCTGCGACTCATGCTGCTGGCTTCCAAGGCGGATGATCTGGAGGACGGCCAGGCGAAGGTACCATGTGGCCGACTAACTTGGTCATTAGTCTGGCAGAAGTTGGGTCTGCTATTTCGGTTTTCTTTCTTTCTTTTTTTTCTGCTGGAAATCTTTAGCAATTACTCTTCACTTTCACAGATCTTTTAATGCTTTTCAGTGTGTTGTAGAGAAGATTATGGGAAGTAGAGGAGAATATGATTAGTTTTGTTTGTTTGCTTTATGAAACATAAATTTTGAGCTAGATGGGCACTGGAAGTCACCCAGGACATTGTTTTCCTGTATGATAGACACAGTCTTATTGTAGATAAAGTGGTGAGTGTGGCTATAAAAAGATTTGGGTCATATTCCTGTTTCTTCCATTTAAAAGGAAAATGGCAGATTTTTATGACTCTGTAATAAGGATATTTTCCCCCATAAAAAATAATCTAGCTCCTTACAGTCTATTTAAGAAATGCAGGAAATTGAAAGGAAAAAACAAACAAACAAACAAATCATGCTCTAGTTCTAATACCAGAGACTATCACAGCATAATTTTGGTTCAGTCATTTTTTTCCCTAAGGCATTCTTGTGCTTTTTCTTTTATTAAATTTGATTTTTCAAGGCAGATGAAGTTATGTACAATTGGACTTCAGAAAGTTATTCTAAGCTTTTCCTGATATGTGGGTTCAGATAAACATTTTGGGTCCAAATCTACAATAGAGATTTAAAAGTCATAATAAAGTAATTTCAATTTTATGAAAATATGTTATTGAAAGGAAATATATTAGTCCATTTGCTGTTGCTTATTATACCGTGCCACAGATTCTGGCAGTGTGATGTCCACAGGCTGCATCCAGTGACCACCTTCTTAGTGTCTGAGCTTGCAGAAGCAGAACAGCACAGGAGAGAGAATTGCACTTTCTGTCTGACCTTTCTGCTTCTTATTCTAAAATCACCAGGATTCAATCATGGAGTCTCTCCCTCTGTTAAATTTACCTATTTCTATTCACATCTCAAAGTCCTTGCCACTAAACATTAGAGTCAGATTAATGTTGCACCCTGAATACCTCACAGTGGGAAATACATTCAAGTGCTTCAGGAAGCCAACTGTGTTTGTACCATGGCAAAACTTACTGTTCTCTGCTTTTGTGGTTCAGTTAAATCACATACTGTTTTCTAAGGTGGGAATTTTTTAGACTCTTCTGATGAGTTTGCTAGTTCTATAGAGCAGGCATGCATAATTTTAGACCAAAATTTTCTAATATTTTAGATTTTAATTTTACCTCTCCATACGGTGGAATGTATCTTCTAATAACGTTTATTATTATTACTTTTAAAATATTGAGTGGACATTGTTGAGAGGGTCTATCCGTGGCCTTTTATACTGACTTTTTAATATGTGGGCATGTAATTGTTAGAACACTTTTTATTAATCACATCAAACACTGCCTTACAGTATTTGGTGTTAGGAGGAGTACTCTCTTTTGGGGTTTCAGAGGAGTTATGTTAATTTTTTTCCTTTTGCAATTAATTTGACTTTTTTATGCCTGTTTAATTATATGAATCTTTTATTTTTCCTAGTTCAGATTGCTTTCTGCAAGATTTTCTATTTTACAGATCTTTTAAAAAATTAACAGTTTATCATGTGATGAGACTTTTCAGTATTGATGTTCTCAGCTTTTTATTGTGATACAATTACTTTGGACATAAACGTTACCATATCAGTAATTTGAAATGCTCAGTTCAGTACTATTAAATTCAGTCACATTCCCAGGTCTTTTTTTTTAATTGAAAAATAATTCTTTATTATGTATTTGTTATTTACTTCTGAATAATTATTCAGCTTCTTTTTTTTGAAGAAAATTATCCAAATCTAGTGGTTTGCCAAACAATTAGGTACACACAGGGTCTTCTGGTGAGCTCTAACCAAAGCTGTTAATTAAAATGTATTTTCAAGTCTGAGACTAGATGAAGAGCTTTTGGCCAAAATACCAGTGTTAGCTTATCTTCATGTTATTAGCTATTCTCTCAGCTGAAAGGTCATCTTCTACTACTAGTTTTACAGGCACATTGATCATGATGGATGTTATTAATCATCATAAACTACAGTAAACGGTGTTTCAGGATTATTACCATTTTAAGTAGACTTTAATGATGAGGTGTACACTTCTAGGGTCATAGTGAAGCACTGTGAGTTCCTCACCCCTCTGATTTTCTGTTTATTCTGTACTAAGCATATAGTCTGATTTTCTATAAGTTTCTCTGACTGTTGCCTTCTCTAACAAAATGTGGCACATGAAGAATGTGTCACAAGAGATTGTAGGATGAATCATTTCTGGTGACCTTCAAAAAAAGTCACTTCATGGTGATGGCAATTGTATTCCTTTAGCTCTCTGTTCTTCTCTCTCTTTTCCACAGTCCAGTGGCCTTACAGAAGTATACTTCCTTTCAGACCCAAAGTTTGATGATACTGGGGAACTTTTTCTTTTGTTAAGATTTCATAGACATTTTAGTGCAAAGTTGAAAACTCCATGAAATGCAATGTAGTCTGACATTGGAAACCAAACAGTATCTTTATTTCTTTATTTTAATCTGATTCCATTATTTGTGTAACAATACTGTAGGATATGGAATTATATATATACACAGACACACACACACACACACACACACATATATATATATATATATATATATATATATATATATATCCTTCTCAGACATGGAATGCAATAAGCTGTTCAACTAGAAGGTCTTTTATTATCAGATTGCTTGGAAATGTTTCATTTCTAACAATTCTTATTTTATGTGCTCTCTTTTGTTAAAGGAAGAATGTACATGTTAGGATACAGTAAAGCAAATACTGCAACATCTAGATGAGGCTTATATATTGTTAATATATGTACAGTAATAGCGATAGGTAACATCTATCTTGTGTTATCTCTTATAAGTACATTTTGTAAACTGGGCATGATGGCACATTCCTGTAATCCTTACACGTGGGAGCTGAGGCAGAAGGATTGCCCAAGTTTGAGGCCAGCCTGGACTGCATAGTGAGTTCAAGACCAGCCTGATCTACATAGAAAGACTCCCACCATATGTATATATTTCATAAACTTGACATTGAATGAATAAAGTGCTTTTCTTTTAGGCGCTGTCAGTGCTAAAGCATTCATTGTTGTCCTTCAAACAACCCAGAGCCGTGGAGATGTTAAAACTTTACTTCTTATTTTCTTTGCAGTTCTTGGTGAAAGAGGTAGGTTGTGTTTTGCTTTTTTGTGAAGTAACATTGTTACTATTTAGATTGTCTTATCGTGCAAAACTAACTATAATATTTAGATGGTTATATCCAATGATTAATATTAACTATAATTGATAATATTATCAGAAGTAGCCTAGCTAATAGCTATCAATCTGTCTCATATAATATTAAATACTGTTTTAAACCACCAGGTAATAAGCTACTTTTTAGTTGCATGGCGAGTTGAGTCAAACTAACAAATTGTTTCGGTTCTTTAGGGATATCTAGATCGAGAGGGAAATCCTACAGGGTTTGCTGGACTTGTGTCACATTTGCACTATCACGAACCTTCTAATCTGGTCTTTGTCAATTTTCTTGTGAAAGGTCTTTTCCATAATCTTTGCCAACCAACTAACAAAGGTAAGCTTGAGCACACTATAGAAAGCTAGTGCTTTGCAAGTAGTTTTTCTGTAATGTTAGTATGTAGGTGATTTACAGATCCTCAGCTTACATAAATGGAGGACAATGATATTTTTACCACCTATTTTACATTAGCTTAAATGTTAATCTCAGCTATGCCTTTCTTCCAGGACTCAGAACATATTGAATGATATATAAGTTTTAGGAAATATTTTCTTCTAATGAAATATAATAAATGCTCATTATAGAATAAAGGAGAGCATTACCTCACTCTCTTCAGATAATCACTATTAATATTTCTCCCAATCATATTTTGTTTGAATATAATTGTATAGTATTTTTGAATAGCTGATATTATATTAACTATATAAACTAGAATTTTTTCCCTTTAGCATATTGTATTTGCCCACATTATATAAGTTTTTAAGTAAATTAATTTCACTTAGCATAATTTTCATGAAAGCTTTGATTTTTATATTTATTCAATAAAGCCATTACTCATTGTTCATAAGATAAGTTTTGCCCTTTTGTAATATTTGTGCTTAAAATTGCTTTTTCTCAATGCCTAGTGAACTTAGCACCACGCACAATATTACCTTATTTCCTATTGGTTGATAAGAACATTTTACTGCACAGTATATCTAGTCACTATGCTCTAAAAATGCATTGTTTTGTGGCACAAAGTTACTTGGAAATTCTGTTCTTGTGAAATGATGTATTTAAAGTGGATACATATGGTAATAAGGATGAGGAAATTGATAACTTGAAGAGAGAAAATATGTTTAACATTATTTCATAAATGAGGAAACTGGGAAATTCATAATTTATTATGTCCTTACACTTTTAAAATTTCAGAACCAAGATTCAAGTATTAGTAGTGTGACTCTGGAGCACAGGCTATTTTAATAGCTTGACATTTATGTCATAAGTTTTAAACCTTTCAGTTGAGTTATTCTGTGCTGTGCAGAACAGAGGAATTCAAACTGACAATAACTTAGTATGAGTGGCAGGAAGGTAAAGTGAGTACATCAGATTGGGGAATTATTTGTGTGCTGAATTTTAGAAAACCTTAAATCCTAAGTTATAGAAATGTTGTTTATCAGATATTTAGGTGTCACTGGAGATTTCTGAGAGAGAGACATGATCACAAATTCTATAGGAAATATGATTATCTATGATTGAATAAAATGAGGAAAATGTTGGTAAGGAGATAAATGGAATTCAAGGTTAGGGTGACTAGAGTCTAAAGTAGAGCAGAAGCAAGAATAAAAATAGTTACAGATGAAAATTTCTACAAGATACACTTGCTATCTTTATCTCAATGCTTAGGTTTCTTTGAAACTAATTGGAATGAAACTTTCTATTTACATGTGAAAAAACGGACAGACACTTCAGCACATTTAAGACACTTTGTTTTATACAGGATCAGAGCGTTTTTCTCAAGATGTTATGGAAAAACTAGTGCTAGTACTGGCAAATCTCTTTGGAAGAAAGTACATTCCAGCCAAGTATTATGAAAAAAATTTTTATCAATCGAAGGTAAAGAATAATTCTAATAAACCTTTAAGTACAAGATAGTTGAACAATTTTGTTGCATAATTTGTTTTTTTATAATTGTGCAATTTAATCTATAACTCAAAAACTGCCTCTTGTAAATCTTTCAGAGTTAAATGCTTTGAGGAAAATTAGGATCAATGTCTTAGTCATGTTTTCGTTAGATTATATCTAACTAAAGCATTAAGAGACTACTGACAGAGGTAGCTAAGTATACACTTAAGCTAAAGAATTATTCCCGTTGTTGAATCTACACTTCCCTTACGATCTTTATGATTGATGTTTGAAGTAAAACTATCTGTTGTGTATGATAATGCCTTCACCAAGGTAATATTAAAAATTATTTAGAAAATCATCTGCATTAATTAGATTTGCGTCACTGTGGCAAAAGATTTCAGAAATGCAGTTTAGAGAAGAAAAGATTTATTTTTTTGTATGACTTCATTGATTTCATTTCATGATTGGCTGGACCCATTGCTTTTAGACCTGTGATGAGGCAGAAACTTCAGGGTGAAACTGCATGACAGAAGAAAGCTGGTCTCCTAGTGTCAGCCCAGAAGGAGAGGCAGGGGGCTGAGAGGAAGGGACTGGGGACCAAAATAGTCCCCAAGGTGACAAGGTGATGGCTCTGTGTTCCATTCCATCCAACTAAGCCTCACCCTTGTTTGTATCACCTCTAAATAGTGCCATTAAATTACAATCTTATCAATGGAGTGATCTACTTAATGAGTTAACATTGTGATGGTCCAGTCACTTCCCTCAAATCTCATCACTAAGGAAATCTTCAACACAATGGGCCTTTTTAGGGGCATACTGGATCCCATCCATAACATCATATTTGAATCACAAGGGCCCATGAAAACTGTTTCCTAATTTACAGCATTTTCTTTGGTAATGATACCCTATCATTTAATCAACATCGAAGACTTTTACTGATTCAGTTCTCTAGATGCTAAGAAAGTAGAACAAGCTGGTTTATATTAGATAACCTTAGTGACAAGGTGCTATGGAATAAAGCAAGAAGAGTTAATTAGTCTACATCATTGGACCCCACAATGTCCTATAAACCAGTGTTCACAACTTTAGTCATCCAACTATCATCTTCATATTTTTTCACCCCATGTACATTCTTGAAATATTGTTTAACTGTCCTACTCAAATAAATAAACATCTAATCAATAAAAGAAAAGCTACCATTTCTATTTTTAAAAAGGTGGTCATCATAAAAATGATAAAGGATAGTTTTGAGTAGAGAGCTGATTTTTTCTTAAAGATTAATAGAAATTTATCTGCTTCTAGGTTTCATATATTAGATGGTTATTAATCCTACAGTAAGAGAGAACTGTGAAAATAATGAGTGAATTTGCTAAAATTTTTTATTGGTGAGCATTTTTCCAAGGTGTGATAGTAATTTCAGCCTTAGTTTTTTTCTCAGAGAATTTGCCAGTTTTGAACATAGAACACTGGATTTAACATATACACAGGGCCTCTTTAGTGGGAGTAAAAATACTTAATACATTTCTTAGTGTTTATACAGACCTGGAATTAGAGATAAGATACTTGAGAAACTACGGGTACATGAGTTTTCATCATCAAAATTTACTGGATAACAGATCTGCATGAAATGTGGGGTGTTACATATAAAGGTTTTAAAAGAGAGAAAAGAATTTCCAATGGATTGTGGCATTTATTAAAAAAAATCTTGCTAGGATAAAGAGTCTAAATCCACCTTATACATAGACTTGTATTTTACTCAAGAAATTTTTGAAATTAGTTTGGAATTGAAGAAGAAAATGTAGGTTAAGAAATTCTATAGGAAAGAGGAGACTACTTAGGAGTATTTTAGGCCTGAGAAAATGGAGACACATCAGTCTGATACTCAGAAATCCCAAGGAAACCTAGGACCAGAGACACTAGAGATACAGAATGACTTCTTAAAAGCTCAAAACAATAACAATTCACTCATTCTACTTAGATGGAGGTGATCATAGGTTTATTGGTCAAACACACACACAAGGATTTCGCTTTGTTGAAAGAGCATCTGGTTGGTGTTAATTAAAACCAAGTGAGGTTTACACCAGGCAAGTAAGTGTGCTTTGTCTTTTTGCCTGCTCTCCAAATATGTCACTAGATTTTGTGACATTTTCACAAGTCCAATTTCACTTGAGTATATGATTCTATTTCTTTTAGAAAATGATTTTAATTAAGTAGTTTCAAAGTAAAGCTTTAAGGTTAAAGAGTAGTGTAATTGCCTTTATAAATGAAGAGAGAAATAAAAATGAGTTTTACTTCTACCACTGAAGAAGCAGTGGCCTTACTGAATAAAAAGGAAAAATTATACTGCAAAGTTCGTTACCTTTCTTCTTCCAAAAATTCAGTGTTAATAAAGTTAATAGATCTCTCTGAAAAAATTTGACTTCCAGGTGTTTCTTGATGATCTTCCTGAAGATTTCTTGGCTGCTTTAGATGAGTATAACACAAAAGTTAAAAAAGACTTTGCCTCTTTTTTGCTAATTGTGTCCAAATTGGCTGATATGACACAGGAGTACGAACTTCCACTGTCCAAAATAAGTAAGTATATTTCAGCTCTGTGGTGTAACAATTTAACAATAAATCATCTTTCCTAAAACTGTTTTATCTCAAGGCTGGAGACATGGTTCAGGAGAAGAGGGCTTTCTTATCATGAGGCCTTAGGTTCAGTTCCCAATACTTAAAACAAACAAACAAATATATATGTATATATATATATATATATAAAATCTATCTATCTATAATCTATATATATATATATAATCTCAAAAAGAGATATTTTACTTCAGAAATAGACTGGAGTCCAACAAGGGCCAGTATACTTTTGAATAAGGTATTTCTTCATCTTTTCAAAGAAAATCAAGTGATTATTGGAAATGGATACTGGAAAATAAAACTAAATATATTATTTATAAACCATCTTGAGTAACGTCTGTCTTTGAGTCAAACCCAGAAAATGGGGTAAAGATATCTGTAAGATTGAGAAAAGCTGGGGTCTAATTCTTACATTGCTTTTCTTTAGAGGAATTATGCTTAATGTTCATAAGCATAGAGCATCTGCAGATTCCTTAGATCCAAACACTGGCTCTGCCACTTTATTAGTGAGATCTGAGGCAAGCCATCAAATAATCATGCATTAGTTCTCTCAATAGATATAGCAGAAAGAAAATAATACAGTCTACTTGACTTTGATAAACTTTGAATAATTGACTTCTAAATATGTGAATATTTAAAAAAAATACTTGGTGCATTGTAAATATCATTAGTGCTTGATTGTTAACAGCAACTAATGGATGCTTTTGTGGAGGAAATAAACATATAAAGTTACAGAGATAAAGAGAAATCTTTGAACTTTGGGTAGGAGTATCCTGGATTCACTATACCTTGTCATCCTCAATGGGAAAAATCCAAAGAGGTGGAACTCCTAATTTCCAAGGTCTTACAAAAGCAACAAACAACTCTGTGGACCTCACAGGAGAGTTGTGTTGGAGGCATGTGAATAATTTCTGGAATTAAAATTAGAACCTAGTTTTGATGTGTGATTCGTATCTTTAATAGCACATGAATGGAAAACATGTCTTCTCACATGCTTTTGCCAAATCTACTAATAGTGACCACTTAGAACACCCTGTCCAGAAACATTTTAAAACAGACTCAGAGTTTGCAGGACCAAGAAACAAGCAACAATTATTCTCTGTGAAAAAAATATATATAATTGAAGTATTTCTTCCTATTGATAAAAGTAACCAAATATAACACATTTGTTTATGGCAGTGAAATGGTGAGATTGATGTCAGTTGCTAACATTCTTTGAATGTACCTGTCCTAAACCCCTCCTCACATTCTGTGATAGTTTATTCAGCCCACTTGGTGCTGTAGTTTCCTTGTTCGGGCTGCACTCATAGCGTGATCTAGACCCATGGTGGTGAATGTACGGCTTGTGCACGGCAGCGGGCTATTTGTTAACACTGAAAGATCTAAAAGGTTCACCATCAGAGTAGGTAAAGGAGGTTTGACTAGTTAGCTTATTTTTAAAACTGATCTATCCCAATTTATTATGGTCAGAATTCACAGGTAAAGAATGTGAAGACTCCCAACTTGTGTCTCACTTGATGAGCTGCAAAGAAGGAAGAGTAGCAATTTCACCATTTGCTTGTCTCTCTGGGAACTTTGATAGTGCTTTGCTTCAGCCAGAAATTGCAAAAAGTGTAAGTGAAGAAGGGGGTTCATATACCAATCTCCACGGCTTTCCTTCTGTCTTGAGGGGCATCTTGTAATAGAATGCTTTTGAAGAGTTTTGAATTTTGGCATACAAATTATAAAGCATTTTATGTTAGCTTGAGAGTAGTAATGTTAGAAAACTTTGTTTCCTGGAGTTTACATGGATGACTACAAATAACTGACTTATATGACGTTCATAGCTAAACACATTGAAGAAAAGACATTAATTATTAAGCAACATAATTTCCTCTTTTCCTCCTTCTTTGCCTGATCAAAAGGATATCTTCTTGATTCCTACCATATCTTTCATTTACTTTTTAATTTATTTGTATTTTTAGTGTACTCAAGAGAAATCATGTGATATTTAACCTCCTGTGTCTGACTTACTTCACTTGACCTTATGATTTAAAAATTCATTTGTTTCCCTACAAACGACTCAGATTCATCTTTCTTTTATAGCTGAATAGTACTGAATTTTCTTTTACCATTGGTTGTTTGATGAGATCTCAGCTGTTTCCTAGTTTAGCTATTGCGAGTGCACCGCTATACGTATGATGACTTCAGCTCTCGGGAGTACTCAGGAGCAGTATTGTTGCTAGAATGTAACTTCTATTTTCAGTTTTTTTGGTAAATCTCCAAACTGATTTCAACAGTGTTTATACTAGTTTATAGTCCTACCAACGATGTAGAAATGTTCCCCCCCCACCAACTTCACCAACATTGTTTTTTGAATCTTTGATAGTTATTCTTACTAGTATAAGACAGAATCTCAGTTGTTTTGATTTGCATTTCTTAAAGGCTAAAGATATTAAGCATTTTCTTTCATCTACTTATATGTCCTGAATAAAGAGATGAGAAAATTAGAAAATGAAAAAACCCATTTACTTCATTTGACAATTTTTCTTGGGTCATTTGTCTTTTGGAGTCTGTTTTTGAGTTCTTTATATATTCTAGATAGCAATCCTCCACCAGAGCAAGATCCAGCAAATTTCTTTTCTCATTCTGTAGGTTGTCCCTTCACTCTGTTGGTTGTTTCCTTTGCTGTGCAGAAGCTTTTTAATTGGATACAGTCTTGCTTGTTGATTCTTGGTATTATTTCTTGTGTTACTGATTTGTTGTACAGGAAGCCCTTTCCCAAGCATACGGTCTAGGCAGTTTTCTCTGTGTGTCTTCCATGAGTTTCAGTGTTTCTGTTTTCATATTCAGGCCTTTGAGTCACTTTATTTTAGTACATGATGAGAGATAATAGGTCTAGTTTCATTATTCCCCATGTGAACAATCAGTTTTCCCAGCACCATTTGTTACAGAGGTTATCATTTTCCAGCATATGTTTTTATTCATTTTGTCAAAGGTCTCTACAGGTAGAGATACAGGATTCACTGGTTCCGAATTCTATATACCCTTTCCTGCTGTCTACTCAATATTTTCTTCTGTTTACTTCTTTTCCTCTGTCCCCTCACATGACCCTTCAATTCTCCTCTCCCTTATATCTCCAGTCCAGGACAAAAAAATGGTATCATCAAAATCTGTGTTCTTGTTTTGCGCGTTTTTGTTGTTGCTGTTATTTTTTTTTTTTTTGCTGTTGTTATTTTTTATAATATTCTGTTTTATCTATTCCCCTTTTCTTGTCATTCTCAGCCTATAGTTTATCATTACTTATTCTTTTGCTTTCTTTGGTTATGGAATGAATTCAAAACTTTCTAAACAAATTTCAAAGTAAGTGTTGATATATATTTGTTTCTGTGAAGTTTTATACTAATTGTGATTGTTCTCTTCAAGCAAATGAGTGGCAGAGACTCAGCACAGATATTTAAATAGGTGGAATAGGTATCTATATACTGACACAAACCCAAAGCAAGGTGCACCCTGGAAGGAAATATCTTACTAAAGAGAGATATATATTATAGTAGCAGTTTTTGTCCCAACTGATGTAATTCATCCAACACAAAACCACAAGAATCATGAGAAAGCTACTATAATACATATCTCTCTTTTTAAAGATTGTTTTTACTACATAATATTCCACAGTGAGAAACAACCCATTGCTCTATGTTTTGTTAATGCATGTTTCACTTGTTTCCATTTTTTTTTATTATGCACGTAAGATTATTGTGAATGTCTCACGGTCATGTGCAACAGGTTTTTTGGGGGGAAGTTGATATATGTTTTTGGTTTAAAAATAGTTTTTCTGGATTATCAGAGAATAGAAATATTCAACTTTTCAAGCTACTTCTGATTTCCTTTGGAAAGCAGTTGGACCTGTTTATAGTCTCATTAGCATTACACTAGAGGCCCTGTTGACCTCAAAAGGTATAATTTGCAAAAATGAGCAGACATAGACAAATATACATTTGCTTTCTTTTTTATTTTGATTGTCTTCTTTTCCTTCCTACTTTCCTCTTATTTTGCTAACTGAGTCCTCAGGATCATTAGGTTTGTTTAGGTGAACACTTCTCATGTGGCATATATGTCTCCGCTTCCCTCATCTGCTATTTTCAGAGGCATTTCCTGCACCAATAAGAATAATGTCAGAATTTTAAATGAGTTTCTTCCCAGTCTTGCTATATTCTAGTGGGCAGATGGTTGCACTGGCTGTCAGTATGACATGGAAGCAGTAATTCTCACAGGTGGTGTGAAGCCATTTTCCACCCTAGCTGAAGATGACACCACCCACTGTGTGAGAAAGACACCCTCTCTTTCACCATGAAATTTGTACTTGACAAGCATTATTTAAAGTAAATAAAAGTACAATGTAAGAAATATAAATTTTCTCTATACATAAATAGCACTAATTAACAATTGTATTTCTTCAGAGTATTCTGCGAATGTTTGGAATCACCTATGGTCAAGCTCCTATACTGTGGCCCAAAAGATATGATAGTCAAGGAAGAATAATACCCCTTAATGCTTATGCACTGGACTTCTACAAACATGGTTCCTTGGTAGGAATAACACAGGACAATGGGTATGTTATCTCTCTCTCTCTCCCTCTCTCTCTTTCTCTCTCTCTCTCCCTATCCCTCTCTCTCTTTCTCTGTCTCTTTCTCTCTGTCTCTCTGCCTCTCTCTCATGAATTCAGTGAATTTTACAGGAAAAACTCTTTTTATTGTTTCGACTATAGGTTAATCATGCTAAATATATCACACTTTATTTTTGCTCTCTAAATGACCAAAAAGAAGGACAAATTCTGTATGAGTTTTGTTTGTGGCTTATCTACAAAATTTTGGTATTTAGAACAGCTTACTTTATATAAAGATATGGCCTAAATATATAAATAATTTTAGATACTTTTAAATACAGTTTTTATTTTTTGCTAATCCATTTATTATTAGTAAATGAAAATCGTGACAACCCTATGCTCTGTGTTATCTGATAGTATATGTAAAGAATGTCGAGTATACATTTGAGGTCTGACTACAAACTACTTTCTTTTATTATTGTGCTCTTTTGTTCAGTCAGATTTTATTGGAATGTTTTTGATATAAACAATGATGACATTCAAGAGAAACTACTTTCAAGAGCTAAACTGGGATAAACACCTTTAAGTCTACTTGGAAATGAAGAACTTGGTCCAGATATTGGGCACATAGATGTGTAAAGGGCCATGTTAAGACAGAAATTCAATATATGTTTACATAGCATTTTGAATAATCATAAAATGTGTTTGAAACTCTGACATGCTTCAAAAATATGGAACATTTGGGGTTGTTAAATAGGGCTCCTTATGGTGAACAGTGTAACTATTGCATCAGTAAATAATGTTTTCAAGCCCTTAATTTTCCAAAATTTTATTTGTTATTTAGGATACACACAGGAGAAGCTTATAATTTGTTGAAAGATTTTGGACTTGTCATTAAATCTATCAGGTATGTTATGTATTTAAATAATGATTTCATAGTGTAAATCATCTACCTATAAATCAAAAACATTGACTCTTTCTAAGCAAGATACATGAAGGTGTCTTTGAGCCTCTTAGTGCTTTGCAGTTCAACTTGCAGAGGGTTTGCAGAACTGTGTGACACACTGCTGCATGCTTCCTGTAGTAGCATTAATTCCAAAGCCTATTTGAGATTAAGTTCCATGGAGTCTGTAGTTTTAGTCTCAGGAATCATGCACCAACAGGAGCAATAATCCAAAACTTCATTGGCCCCACACCCTAACATTCTCATCTGTCACAGAGTGTATGTCAGATCTGGATAAGGAGAGGGCCCGGGGGTCTCTATTATATCTCAAATATATCCTCTTATGTGTTCTTGAATCTTTTCCTTTAATAAGTAGTATTTTTTCAGGCTTAATCTCAACCTGGTGTCTCATAGGCTACCTATTTTCATCTATATCACAGACTTTTATATACCCAAGTAATATCCAACTTCATTCAGACATTCCCATTCTTTGGTTCCACTGGACATTTAATGTTGCCTAGTTAAACTACCGTCTTCCTAGGGCTTCCAATCTGCATACACTACAGTGCATACTCTACAGCAGTTTCATTGTTTGGTCATTTACATATATTTTATTGGTCACAAATCCTTATGTTTGGGTTTTTGTTAATCAGGTCATGGCTTTTAGTTCTTTGGGCTGAATAAGATTGAATTTTTTATATAGACAGCAAATGTTTTATGGTGCTAAAACAGAAATTATACCTTTGTCCACTGGGAACAATGCTAGGTAGGGTGTTCCTTGTATGACTCATAGTTAGCTGAGTTATAAACGCCAGAGAAACCCATAAATGTAAGAATTTTCAAGCTCTGTCCAAAGCCAAGCTTCAAAAGATAATTAATTCATGCAACAAGTATTGAAATGTTACTTGTTTGAGACACTTTTAAGCATCTGAGTATAAAACATCATTAAATTGATCCCTCTTTAAAAAGAACTAATAGTGTAGTGAAGGAAACACATTTGAACATCATATGCATAATAAGAGGTTTAATGGCAGAAATAAGAAATGGTCTGTTATGCAAGGAATAGGCTTTAAGCTAACTGTGGAGCTGTGATAAGGATGGAAGAAGCTGCTGACTTATTCTAAACAACAAGAGAATTGGGATCTATATTATAAAGGGGCTTATCTGTCACATAATGAAACTGGGAGTTAATGTTTGAGAGTTTTATAGAGAGTGCATAGATGTGAGTGTGGCATGGATCTCTGGTTTGTAGACAAGGCAGAGATGTGTAAGACCATCAAAGGGTGTAACAGTGATGCAGGTGAGAAAGAGTAAGTCTGAATTAAGAAAAAAGAATTAATGATGCAGAAGAGCAGTTAGAGAAATATGAGATTAATTCTAAAAAGTTGACAATAAATTTCATGTAGTTACTGAAGATTTCTAAGTTATCTTAGTTAATGATACATAAAAACTATAGAGCATTGATATTTGATAAGAGAACCAAAAATAGGAAGTTAGAATTCATACATGTGAGGCATCATTCAGGAGGATTGTCAAATAATCATAATTATAGATCTGTAAGTCAGAAAATATTCGTTATTGCGATACATATGTCATTTTTGGTGGTAGGTAAGTAAAGCACTAGTTATATTTGCTTTCCTGTCACTGAGAAAAACACTCAAGACTCTTAAATGAAAGGAGGAGCCTTTAATTAGGCTCACGATTTTGCAGTTTTAGTCTGTGATTGCTAGGTTCCCAAGGAGAAACAGCGTGGTGGAAAGACTTACAGAAAGACTAGACAGAGCTGCTCACTTGCTCGTCACAGCCAGGAAGCTGAGAGAAAGGAGGAGCAAAGACATGCCCTTCTAGGCCATGCTCCTGGGCCTAGAAGGTGCTCGCATCACCTCCCTGAGCTGGTCACCTATCATAAAACACCTTTCAATACCCAAGACTTCTGGGGGACATTTTAGATTTAAATCATATCACTCGAGAAAAAACTAATTCTCCTGGAAACCAGGTAGATGCCCACAAGGACAGGCTCATGGGATGTCAGGTCCTGATTGTTTTCAGTCCTGGATCAGCCAAGCTGCAATGTTAATTTACGTGTATTTTCCGTCTCCTTTCCTTTTACCTACACATTAGTTTCTTAATGCAGCTGTAATAAATTACCACAAACTTGATGGTGTAACCCCCCAAAAATTATTTTCATGTGGTTTAGAGGTGGAGAAGCTGAAAAATGTCTCACTGAGTAACATTAGGATGTAAGCAGGGGTTCATGTCTTACTGGAAGCTCTAAGGGATAGTCTGTTTTGCTGCGTTTTGCAGATTTTCAGGACTGTTGGCATTCTTCGATTTGAATCTCCTTTCTCTCTTCAAATCTAGCAGTGGTCAGTATAACTCAGGCAGCACTACTTGAGGGGAAAAAAGGGGGGATTTATGCTGCTATTGGAAGGGAAGTGGGGTCAAGCAGCATGGAGTCTTCCAAATACCATTGGGAACAAATAGACTGAGCAAGAGTTGTCTTATCTTTTCTCATTTTTTTTGGTAAAAAGTTATTTTGGAATAATTATTTCCTATTATTATTTGTTATATTTTGCTAATAGTGTTTCATCATCCATGGTACTGACTCATTTCTCCATATCCAAGGGAAACCCTTCTTATAGCTTCAAATTAGGTACTTGATATATATTCTTTTTTTCCTGTTTGCAGTGTTTCCTTGCGTGAATTATGTGAGAATGAAGATGACAATGTTGTTTTAGCATTTGAGCAACTGAGTGAAACCTATTTTGAAAAACTGAAGAAAGTCTAAAGTCAAAGTTCATGTAAATCTCTTACAATATCGCCATGCAAGTCCTACAAGTCACAGTTTTGGTTCTCCTGCTTTTTGTGAGAAAACACATGATGAAGTGAAAGAAAAAGCCCTGTCTTCAAAGAGTGGGATTCACACCTGCATGATTCCCATCCATGAGAACGCTCTTGGACAAATTATTTAGTGTGTGTGAGTCTTGGTTTCTTTTAATGTTTGAAAAATTATGCTTACGTCAGAGAATATTGAGGTTTGACAGAAAATGGAACTAAAGAACCATTGTTTTCCTCTGAGACCTAAACAAATATTAAACTTTTAATATTTTTCTTTTTTTCAGTATTTCTAAAGTGTTTAGTAAGGCTAGAGAGACATGATTGCAGTGTCCTAAAGGTGAAATGTATTCTTTCCAAATAACACAAATGGGATTACATAATGCAGAAACATGACTTGAAATAGTGTCTTCTAGTGAACCAAGTGCTTCAAAAACACAAGAACTTTAGATTTAAATTATGTGATGTGTAAATAATATACAGCTGATTTTTTAAAAAAATTTAATTACACATGAGGGACTGGAAAACAAAAAAGAATTAAAATGATTTAAATTTCTTACCATTGGTTTGATTGTGTGAAATTTTTGCATGTATCAGTCTGTCTAAAAACTATGCATTTTCTATATATAATAATTCATATAAACATTTCTTCTGATTACCCTTAGACTTGGATCACAATTTTAGGATCCATTGTAGGCACTAAATATCAAGCATTTCAATCCTTGAATGCTCACATTCTTTAAAATGGAAACTATATCATGATACACCAAAAATAACCAGGACAATGATTATAATATCAAAAATGGTCCTGCATTATGCTGTTGCTTGCTGACGGGCTTTTGAGAAATGTTGGATGACGAAGCCATATTATATTAAGTGAAATATTTTATACACAGAAATACTATGTGATCTCACTCATATGTGAAGTCTAAAACCATTGATACCACAGAAGTTGAGACTATAAGAGTGGTTACCAGAGTAGGGCAGTGAGGATGGAAAGAGGCTGGTTATAGTTTTACATAAGTGTAAGTTCTGTGTTCCATTCATAACACACTGGTCATTGTTACCAATGGTGTAATGCTTAGTTTTCATTGATATATATTTGCTATACGCAATAATTACATACATCTGGGTTAATCGCTTTTATACTTCTTACCCTCCCCATGCTAGTTTACCTCCCTGAATCTTGCTCCCTCTCTTTTATATTCCTCTTTTATACTATTAATATTTTGGGTCTCTAACATTAGAGACACCATGTAATATTTAACCCTATCTGATTATTTCACTTACTATTGGGGTCTCAAGGTCATTCCATTTTTCTAAAAGAGACTCAAATTTACCATTGTATATAATACAATGTTTTCTTTATTCAGCCATCCTTTGATGGGCAGATAATCACATACTTGATTTAGTCATTGTGAGCTGTGCTACTATAAACATGGACACATTTATTACAGTAATATGCTGGTTAAATTCTCTCAGGAAGATGCCTAGAAAAGGTATAGCCAGATTAAATGGAGTTTGTAGTTTTAGTGTTTTGAGTAATGTTCACACTGATTTCCACAGTGGCTGTATTACTAGTTTACATTCCCACCTACAGTGTGAAGAGTTCTTTACCCCAGACCTCCTTACCAGTGCTTTGGCTTTCTGAGTTCTTGATAATAACCGTTCTTCTGGGCCAAGGGAAAAACCTCACATTTCCCTAATGGTCAAAGATGCAGGATATGTTTTCATGCACTTACTGGCCGTTTGTCTTCTTCTGAAAAGTATCTACTGATTTCAACTGCCCACTTTATGATTTGATCTTTTATTTTTGTAGTCTAATTTTTTGTAGCTCTTTTTATACTCTAGACATTAATCCTTTGATAAGTAGAGAGTAAATATTTTTCCCATTCTGTAGGTTTCTTCTTCACATTGTTGGCTATTTTCTTTGTCATGCCAAAAGTTTTAAATTTTATTTAATTTTACTTGCTGATTTGTACTCCATCTTGCACAAATAGGCTTTATTCAGGAAGTTCTTGTCTATGCCGATGACTCAGAGGTTTTACTATTATATTCTTTGAGCATACTTCATATGTAAGTCTTTTTTGACTTCATGTTAATACAGGGTAAGAGATATGGATCTAGATTCATTCTTCTGTACACCAACAAGTTTTTTAATTATTATTTTTATTTGTTTTGGTTTCTGAGGATCGAACTCATGACCTTTCACTTGGCAGGCAGGCACTTACACTGCTGAGCTAAACCCCGGCCCCTTAATTACCATTTTTAAAAGAGCAATCTTTACATTAGCATATGTTATTAGCCCTTCTGTCAAAAATCAGATGGCCGAAAGTGATTGGTGTTTCTGCATTCTATCTTCTATTCCTTTGGTCAACATGTCAGCTTTTATTCCAGTACCCTGTTATTTTTACTACTGTAGCTTTGTAATATAGTTTGAAGAACAGGATGATGATGTGTGCTGCACTGATCTAGTTGTTTAGGATTGCTTTGGCTATTCTTGGGGTCTTCTGGTTCCATATAAACAAGGATTTTTTTCCATATATGAAAACTGCTTATTTGGTTGGAAATGTATTAAGATTTTTCGTATTTTTTAATACTGCCGTGTTGACATTTTTTTTTTACCTATTCACGAACAGAAGCTGTTTTTCCATTATCTGATGTCTTATTCAAGCACTTTTTCAGAGAAATATAATTTTCATTATAGAAGTCTTGCATTTCCTTCATTAGGTTAATTCCTAGGTCTTTAATTTTTTAATGCCTTATGTGTTTTTATTTAAATCAGATTTTATTGGTATGTTTTATGAACACATAATAACCACATTCATCATAGAGAATTTGAACCTATATGTAATAGAACTTTTTCCTATTTCTCTACCCTCTTTTCAATCCCTTTTTACTTCCCCATTTACAAAAGTTTGTTTCCATGATTTTTTCCTTTTCTCATTTTTTCAGTTTTTTCCTTCTTTCCCTTCCGTTATCCTTGTTTCCCTCCCCATTTGAGCATTTTCTTCCTATTTCATAATATCTATTATGCATTTTGATCCTTATTTACGCTTTCAGTTTTTCACACCAGAGGAATAATGCTGTATTTTACATATGTGTGTCTGATTTATTTTACTTAGGAGTATGGTTCTCAAGTTGCGCCCATTTTCCTAGAAATGTCTTGAGCATACTCTTTTTACAGCAGAATAGTGATTAATCCACATCTTCTTTATCCGTTCACCAGTTGCTGAGTATTTGGGTTGTTTCCAAGATGTGGCTATTACAAACTGTATCTCTATTAATATGGGTGTGCACATATTTCTGTGGTATGATGCTTAGAGGCAGGATGACTAGATCAAATAGATCCTGTAGTCCTAGTTTTTGAGTAATCTCCACATTAATTTCTACAGTGGTTGTACCAAAGTGGAGAAGGGTTCCTTGTTCCCCACAACCTCTTCAGCATTTTTATTGGTTGATTTTTTGAGGATAGGCATTCTTCTGAAGTGAAATGAATCTCAGCATTGCTTTAAATTGCATCTTTCAGACGACCAGTAATGTTGAATGCTTTAAAATATATTTATTTGCTGTTCTTCCTCTGAGAAATATATTTCAGGTACCCATTTTTGGATTGGGTCTTTAAATTTTGTGAGTGTGAATTTTGTGAGCTCTTTATAGTTCTTGATAATAATCCTTTGTCTGAGGGAGAGCTGGCAAACATTTTTTCCCACATTGTGGGCTGTCTCTTCACTCTGCTGGAGTTTTTCTTGCTGTGAAAAATCTTTTTAAAAAGATGAGATGCCAGTTGTTTATTCTTTGTGATAGTTTCAGTGCAGTAAAGTTTTGGCCTACACCAATGTCGTTAAGGATTGTATCTATTCTATCTTTGAGCAGATTTAATGTTTGTTTTAATATTTCGATGTGTGATCTACTTGGACTTGAATTTAGTGCATGGTGAAAGATACGGATCCAATTTTAATCTTTGGCATGTACAAAGGCAGATTTCCTAGTACCATTTATGAAAGAAGTTATCTTTCTTTCAGTAAATGTGTTTGACACCATTGTCAAAGATAAGGAGGCTAAGAATGTTTGGAGTTGTTTCTGTATGTTCTAATATATTTCATAGATCCTTGGGTCTGTTTTTGGCAAGTTCCAAAAAACTGATTTTATCATAGCAGTTTTGTAGTATAATTTCGAGTCAGGGATTGTGATACTCCCTTTGTTGTGGTGTCTTAGCTTTGTTGCTCAGAATTGCCTTTGCTCTTCTGGTTCTCTTCTGGTTTCAAATGAATTTTAGGATTACTTCCTCTAATTTTGTGAGATATGATGTTGGAATTTTGATCAGAATTGCATTGACTCTCTGCAACAGTTTTAGAAATATGGCCATTTCCACTATATTGGTTCTTTGTACCCAAGAGCAAGGTATATATTTCCATTTTCTGATATCGTCTTCAATTTCCTTTTTCTGAGTACTGTAGTTTTCAATGGATAGATCTTTTATTTTTTTGTTAGATTGGTTCCTAAGTGTTTCATTTTTTTTGGATGCCATTTTAAAGAGCATGATTTCCCTAATTTCTCTTTCAGTGAGTTTATTATTTGTGTATAAGAATGCTATTGATCTTTGAGTGCTGACTTTGTACTCAGCTACACTACTGAATTTGCTTATTAAATCTAGAAGTCTTAAGGTAGAGTTTTTGGTGGTCTTCTTTGTAGAGTATCATGTCATTCACAAATAATGATAATTTAACTTCTTTCTTTCTTATCATTATTCCTTTTATTTTTTCCTCTTATCTAATTGCTATGGCTAAAGTTCTCAGAATTACACTGAATAAGAATGGTGACAATGTTTTTTTTTTTTTGTTTGTTTGTTTCTGGTATTATAGGGAAGGCTTTCAGTTTTTGTTCATTTAGTATGATGTTGGCTGTTGGTTTGTCATACATGGCTTTTATCAGACAGAGTTAAATGCAGTCTGTTCCAATATTCTGTAGTGTTTTGTCATGAATAGATGCTGGACTTTTCAGAGGCTTTTTCTGAATCTATTCAGATAATCATATGGTTTTTGTCCTTCCCTCTGTTAACATGATATACTAGATTTATTGATTTATGTATGTTTAGCTTTCCCTGCATGCCTGGGATTAATATAACTTGTTATGGTGTATAATCTTCTTGAGGATTTGCTGCATTCTACTTATCAGTAGCTTATTGAAGATTTTTGCATCTATGTTCATTAGGGAGATTGGCCTGCAGTTCTCTTTTTTAGTTGGACACTTTCCTGATTTTGATATGAGGATAATACCTGCTTTCAGCAATGAATTTGAGAGGACTGATCCGCTTTTAATTTCATTAAAGAGTTTAAGAAGTAGTGGTACTAGGTCTTCAAATTTCCTTGTAGCATTTAGCATGAAACCATCAGAACCTGGGCTTTTCTTTATTGGTAGTTTTAAATTATATCTTTGATTTCAATGATTGATTTGGTTTTTTTATTTATAACCTTCTGGTTCAGCTTGGGTAATTCATATGTATCTAGGAATCTGTCCATTTCTTCTGCATTTTCCATCTTATTAAGGTACAAGTTCT